AGTATGGAAATGGCTGACTTTCGGAAATAAGCCTTTAGTTGGGATCATTATTCATCTGCGATTCCAGAGATATCGCTGATACATAAATCATTGAGATACTTCAATAATTCGACTAGTTAATATGGAAGATCTTGAGAGAAATTGGGAAATGTCAGTTTTATGTGAATCTTGGCTTGAATTATAATATGGTCTAATCCATGTTACCAGTTCTACCACATGATAGGAACGACAACTAAGATATAATCGATCTATTTTGAGTGTTGGTTATTCTAGGAGTTTCACATGGCTAGATATTTTTTGTGATGCTGGAAATATGAAGTTTATGCTTGTTATAAGAAATCGTTCTTCATTGGCGTACCCAATCCCGATGCCATTTTGCCAATTATCGAGCATTGTTTGGCATCATGACCTACACATATATTCCAGTCTCCATCGAATATGACCATGTCACTTTTCGTTGAGATGTTGTTAGTAGTTTGCATATAACATATTTTCATTGCGATCATCTGCGTATAAAATGGGAGCATGCATATTGATGACCGAAATTTTGCCGAACTTTTCTTTAAAGTAAGTATAGGTCATTTATCGACCTCCACTCAAACATAGTGGATCGAGCTTTTTCAAACATAACAATCGTCATTTCGCCTTGAGACAATCGAAACATCACAGTAATACTATAGTTAGGTTTAGTAATTGCATCAGATCTGAAATGTGAAAAATGGATCTCCGACAAGCAAGCGACATATGCACGATATTTAGAAAGAATTTAGCAGTGATCGCTTGGCTTACGAAGTCCATAAGCATTCTGACGTTTGCAGCAGCTATGGCTCTTCGCTGCGCGTGCCTTTTCTCTTGACAAGTTTCAAGCAGCTGGCTCGATAGCACATCTTATTCTCAAATCTTGAGATCGTTTTATTGCGGATTGGATACTTGTCGCATGTACTACTGGGCTGGGAATATCATGCGCGTTGGAGGACACGGACGTTGTGTCAAAAAGACGATCCTTTCACCACAGATCATTCGGGGATATAGTTATAGGGGATCTCATCAGAAAACCGAACTTGACATGATGGATTTCTGGTCAGAGGCAAAAATAAGAAAAAAAGGTTAAAAAGAGTGAAAAATAACATTGGAAATGAAAACAAAAAAATTTAAGAAGGAAAAAATATTGTTTAGTATTTAACTAGTAATTTAATATATTTGATATATAATAATTTACCTTAATTCTTTGTTTTAAATTTTTAAAACTTTTAAAAATTTAAAAGAACTTAGCTTCAATTGTTATAGAAAATTTGACCTTCAAAAAATAGCGTAAGAAAAAAAGAAAAAAAAAGTAGCAGAGAATAGAAAATGAGTTCAAGAAATTTTAAAACTTCCATCCGCAAAAACAATTGAACCTGAGCAATAGGAACACTAAATGTCTTCCTTTCTAATGCATATTTAGATGCTTCATCCAAAGCACGCCATGAAAGACCCACAGCGCCAGCTGCAACACCTGGTCTCGTCAAATCGAAAGCACTCATTGAGATTTTGAATCCTTCGCCTGGTGAGCCAACTATATTCTAAATGGCAAAAACTGGAGCGAGAATTTTATGGCCTTTATATTGAAAATCTTGCCTTATTAGTTGAAATTAAACAGATCAAAACGTAGGCAGATTTTCCCATTACTTTCACCTATTATTCCAGCAAGTCAAAAAACAACCTCTTTTGGGACAACAACATCTTCAAATGTAATCATTCTTGTATCCGAACACCGCTGACCCATATTCATTTCCTAAAAACACCTTAAATTATGTTAACCATCCTATATTTGAATTCATTACATCCAAATTTATTTAAATTTATAAAAAATTAGACGTTCAAAAAAACTATTAGCCTCAATCCTACTTTTTACCTAAATCAAATAAAGTGGATAACATTTTTGCAATATTTGTTGTATTTGTTATCAACTCCTAATTCAATTCCTTAGCTGCCTAACAGTTTTTCTTTTCTTATAACTTTGATAAAATATATGAGGTGAAGGCATGGTCAAGATATAACTTGTGACGATATAGTTGACTTATGGATCAATTGACAAAAACTTAAGAAAAAAAAATGATAATAAAAAGAATCTAGAAGAAATTAGAAAATAAATCCAATGCAAGAAAAAATCCAATTTTAATAAAATTGACAAAAGTTCAGCGATGCGAATAAATTAATTGAACAAATTACTTTTTTTCCACGAGTGATACCAGATGCATCACCATCAACGATAAATGAAGTAAAAGCTTTCCTAGAAGGTGCTTTTGGGTCAGGATCGGTCCTAGCAAGCACATAAAACCATTTAGCGTGGCCACCCCCAGTGATCCAAGCTTTTGAACCATTTATAACATAGGAATCTCCTAAAAATTACTGGTTATGAACTTCTAGTTTGGATACAGCTGAAAAGCATCCATCAACAAAGAATATTTTTCCTCCTCACCTTCTTAATTATTATTCATTAACTACTTGTCGCATTACAATTATTTAAATTTATTTTTTCACATTGTGAATAATACAAGAGAAAAGGCGGTTAAGTTAAGGAAGAAATATTACCAATAGCTGTGATAAAAAAATAAGATAAACCAGCAAAGTGTCTTTAGTTATATTTTTTAAAAGTTGAAAACTTTTGTGCTTGTAAATTTAATAAAAAAATTAATAAATTGTTTTTTAAAAAATTGAAGAAAAAAGTATAAGTAAAAGCAACCTTTCTTTTCTGCCTTTGTCTTAATAGCAGATACATCAGACCCAGCTTCAGGTTCAGTTACGCAATAGGACTTAAAAAATTATAAGCGATTAATCGTAAAAAATGTGCTTATGCTTATGCTCATGATAAATTCACATTCATATAATTTATAACTTATCTCTTCATATCTTAGAACTGCATCTTCAATAATGATAAGTTTCTAAATTTTTTAGAATGGATATTTTTGCATATTTTTCAAATAAAACTATTACATATTAATAAATTTTATATATAGTAAATATAAGAATAAATAAAAATATAAAAGAATAGGAATAACAGCAATAAATGGTTCAGCAGCAAGCATTCCAAGATATTTTTTCTTCTGTACTTCAGTCCCAGCAATATATATAGGAGCCATAGCAAGCGATGGTCCCATTATTGCTAGTTGTATCCCTGTGCATGCATAAGCCAAAGCTTCAACGACTAAAGCCGTCTCTAATGTCGACAATCCTGCCCCACCTAAAAGAATTAGCATTCACCAAGATGAAAAATTCAATGGAAAATTATTTAATCGATCCAAATAATGTAAGAATTGAGATATGAAATATAACCATATTTCGCCGGAATCTGACAATTCATTAAGCCAGTGGCATGTGCCTTTTTTATAATATTCCATGGAAACTGAAAAACAATAACTTATCGCCCAGAACTTTGTTTCCCCTCCATTAAATCATCAAATTAGATTAAGAAGGTAACAAAAGTCAAGAGTGGTACCACAATACATTTCTGTCGCTTAAAAAAACATGAAAAGTGAAATCCAGATGCTACAGGTCTATCTCCACTGACGGACCCACAAATAAAAGGTTCATGAATACTTACTACTCCGGTTCGATCGTATTGAGCAGCAACAGGAAGTATTTCTTCTTTCGCAAATTTTAGTGCGACATCTCGACACTGTCGCTGATTTTCCGACAATTCTGTAAGTCATCCGATAAAATATTTAGACTATTTAATACGTTATTACTGATCAACTTCTGACGATCATCCTAAAAAAAAACACCTTAATAGACAGCAACTAAAAATAGTGAATGCTGCCGAAGAAATCTTGTAAAAATGGTCAATGATAATGGATAGAAATTTTGAAAACTTGTGTTATATATCAATAATTACATGCAAAAAGAAATTGTGAATAAAAAGTACCAAAGGATATAAAACATTGCAATTGGATCTTTAAACCAGTTAGCTTCAATAAGTTTGGTGCCGTGCCGCGTTTGATCATCTGATGCCACATTGAGCTAAAAAAAGTGCGATCATTTGAATTATTTTAACGATATAAATAAACATGAAAACAAATTTCTCAAAAAAATTCCCGTCTATATTTGTGAAAAAATACAAAAAAAAATTGGAATTTTGCGACAATTTCATCTTTAGCTAACCATTGTTTCGATTATTATTGATAACAGTAATATCATTTTAATTTCGAAAGTTATTGGTAGATCTTTATTAAAGCAGATTTTCAGAGTAAACGTCCATAGATAATTAGGATTTACCATACGAAAGGAAATCGTAAAGACATAATTCAATTCATTTATTACCATAAAATTTGGTCCAAATATATTACTCGATTTTATTCGATATTGCTATTTGATCTTTTATGCAGGTAAATTTTTTTAAAAACTGGATCTTCTGTACACAATTTTACAACCTAAATCGCCGTAGGAGTAAAAAGATCCGAGATTTCATTCAAATCCAGAAGTGAATACAATTATTAATAAGATGTAAGATGAATCGAAATATCAATTCAAAATGGCTGTCGTCCCACTTTCACCAACTCGTTTCAGTAGAAGTTTTGAGATAACAATACGTTGGATTTGACTTGTTCCTTCATAAATTTGAAATATTTTAGCATCACGCATCAATTTTTCTACTGGATATTCGCAGTTGAAACCATTTCCTATAATTACCAATTAGTTTTATGGAAATTTTTCATTCTTTTTTTCCAATAAATAAAGGACTATCTGGAGATGAAAAACCGAATGTGAATAAAAACTCATCATTTTTTATTTGTTTGCCGCCAAGGTCAACTAGAATATAATAATTATACATAGCGTTATATACATCAAATTTTCTATCATCAAATACAAACATGAATGAATTTTTAGCCATAAACTCTGCATAATTCATTTTAACACTAAAGAATCTTTTAAAAAAATTTTCTTTTAAATATCATGGTTGTCGTTGAAGTTAGAGTTAAAACTAAAAATTAACCGTACCACCAAAAATTTGCACGGCATTTGAGGCAGTAATATTTGCGGTGTCAGCTGCGAAACATTTGGCTATAGCCGAAAAATACGAACCGACATGGCCTTGCTCGACTTCCCAAGCACTTCGATAAGTTATTAAACGAGAAAGCTCCAAATTTATGGCCATATCGGCCAACATGAAAGCGACCGCCTATAATATAAATTTATAATAAAGTTACCAATCTTTCGTCACTCTTTCATTTCACAAGTCTTAAAAAAACACCTGATGATTGGCGATAGCAGAACCAAATGTTTTTCGTTCAAGAGCATATTTGCTTGCTTCGTCAAGACATCGAGATGCCAAACCAGTTGCCATTGCAGCCACCAATGGTCTATTAGTGATTTAGTGATTAGTGATTTTTATGATTTGAAAATTATTATATTACTTTCTATTTCACTTCTACTTTGGGAACCTATCTTCTTTCAATAACATTCGTTTTTGATTTGGCTGGTTCAATTGAATATTAGAATATTAAAAATTTAAGAGAGACAAATATAAGTGGAACCGCAGCGCCACCCGGATTTTTAATAGCAGGTTTATTCGCACTAAGGGATATAATGAACTGAACCTATGATGTTTGACCTTAGTTAAAAAAAAAAACCACTCGACCACATTGTCCCTTGGGACTGAAAATAAGTATCAGAATTTACTAAGTATTCACCTTTAAGCTCAGCTCAAATAAACTAAAACATGGGACTAAAAGTGGAACTTTGGGGTCGATTCTGAGGTTCTATTCCTCGCAGGAGTAAACTTGTCCAAAAAACCGGGTAATACTGGCGATTCATCTGTATTTCTATCGCCAAGGGACCCTCCAGCATATCTGTCCAATGCGACAAGCTCGCGGAGCGATCTTAACTAATAATGGTGAAAACTCTTTAAAAAAACAAAAAACTCTTTAAAAAACAAAAAAAAAGTAAAACTTTAAGGATTGAAGGTAAAAGGAATAAACCATAATTAGGGAACGACTGAGAATATTTGTACCTGAAAAACCGAATATGAACAAAAATTAAATTTCACCGAGTTCTGTCAAATGTTTTCATAGCTATTTTGAAACCATCACCAGGTGCACCGACTACCTGTGATGCTGGCACTCGTACATCTTCGAAGGTGATTCCACGAGTATCTGATGCACACTGACCCATATTAATTTCCTGTAAAGATAAAGTTAAACGATCACCCATTAACATTTCTTCTAACTCCTTTCACCATTATTGATTACACTGGCTCTGCTGGGTACAAAAGTAAGACGTCTTCAAGCTGATCAGTCCGACGCCATCGCTAGTAGTAATAGAAGCCATCCCTTTTTCCATCGCCTAAGTCCATATATCACTAGCACCCCTATATATTCAAAAACTTTCCTGATTGTAACAGTTCAAGTCTTGATTGGCCCTTCTCGCTTTTGACGCCAACCATCATAGGGTGCAAGCGAAATATGCGTCAACTCCTGAGGTGGGTAACGTGCCCTAACCAGCAAAGAAGGCGCTCAGTGATAATATTATTAATACATGGTATTTGAGCGAAGATAAATACAATCATGTGCGATTTTATCCGCTCGATGTATCTACAAAATATATCTTAAAGATGAGTTGTTAAAAACTAATAGCTTCTTAAAATCTTTCACTCTCATTGGCTGTTTGCCAGTTATATAGGAAAATTCAGCGAACTGCAGAACATGGACGCGGATTTTCGTCTTTATGGTGATTTCACGATGATCCCATAAAGGTTTCGTCGGAAAAATAATTATAAAAATAATTATTAATTAAAAATAATTAATAATCATAATAATAATTAAAAATAATTAAATAATTATAATAAATATAATTAAATAATAATTATAATTAATTATAATAATTAAAAATATTTCTAATTGTCGTTACCCGAGTTACAATTTCACCCTTTGCCTGGCCATTTGGAATTTGCATCAATTTAAAGTCGAGCACTTCCTCAACTGGCAATTAATAGATATTTTATCAGCATCATATATGAGACCTTTTTATTTCGAAAAGGCTAGTCGATTCCCCATTAGACCTGCGCCAAGGTATGCTAATAAATGCCTTTGTGAGCCGAATAATCTCTTATCTGGAACACCGTCATATTTCGCCATCTTCCAAAGCGCTGTTCTATCAATTGAATCGAAGGGCAAAATCGATAAAGCAAATGACGATGGAATTTGAAGCGATGTTCCAGCACCCTTCTTAGCGGAAATATGTGGTCAACACAACTGCGTCCCGGTCTGAATCCAGTTTGGCTAAGACGCTTCATTTCCAGACATTTCCAGTATCTCGTGTTGCCATGAGTCTATTTAGCAGAAGAGAAGCGAAAATTTTTCCGGAGAAATCTAGTAGGCTGATTCCTCGGTGATTGTCGCAATAAAACCTGTCACCTTTCTTAGAAATTGAAGCAGAATTGTTTCTTCTCTAGTCTTCTGGTCTTATTTCCTTTAACCCTACCAGAAAATGCATTTGTTATAAACGATGATGGACAACTTTTAAAGAGTTCGGCCCGAAAGCCATCTTCTCCGGGAGTTTATTGGCCTTGAGCTTATGAATTACAGAGAATTTCCTCTTGTACTGGCGATTTACAGTTGCAAACGTATGGCTCGACGAGCTAATCAGCTATATCCGAGAAAATAGATGGCGCATCGAGGTTAAGTTTAGCCTCAAAAGATTCTTTCCATCTTATAAGGCGATCTTTAATAGCTTTAATAAGGGCTCCATTAATATCACATATCACTTCAATGACTCCTTCTCGAGTTATAGTTGCCTTGTGAAGAAGATATAATTTCCTATTATCACTTATCAGAGCCGCCGTCTTCATTCTCAAGGCCATATCGCTCCAATAGCGGTTTCTGCCCCGCCGTTCTGCTGTTGTTGTAATTCTTCGAAGCACTCAATAGTCAGGATCTCTTGACATTCGGATTTTGGTAGCACAAACATATTTTTAAAATTATCTTAAAACAATGAATTAACTTTAAAGAAAAAACTTTAAGAACTTTTTCAGTTTCATGCCAATTTTATGCACATACCTTTTTGCCTCGACTAACACCAGTTGCATCACCATCAATAATGAATGCTGTGAATGCTTTGGTAATTGGTACTTTTGGATCGGGATCGCTTCGAGTTAAGACAAAAAACCAATTTGCATGACCAGCATTTGTAATCCACATCTTAGAGCCATTAATAATGTATTCGTTGCCTTTTTTTTCGGATTTTGTTTGAATATTAGCAACATCAGAGCCAGCACCAGGTTCACTTACTGCATACGACTACAAAAAGATTTATAATTTTCTAAGTCTTAATTAATGAATTTTCTAAGTCTTAATTAATGAAAAAAGAATTGGTTAGAAAATTTTTCACTATCAATGACACTATCGAAAACAGAAAACCCAGTGGTTTTTGCTCAGATTATCGTCTCTTGTGTCTAGCTGCTTTGAAACATCTTTCCGACAGAAGTAAACTAGTCAGTCATTAACCTAGTCATTAAAAAATCGGGGTATTCTAGGTATATTGAGGACCTATTTTTCTCCCCAAGGTTATTTATTTCTGTCCTGGCATAAATTTTTTTTCATATTGATAGCCAGTGGATCGAGGCCATAGTCGTTTGGTAAAAACTGAGAGAAAATTACTGCAACAATCGGTTCAGCAATCATACGACAAAGATATTTCTTTTTAAGTTCATCGCAACCTGCAATTATTAAGGGGGTCTCAGCAAGGCCGTTTGTAATTATAGCCGTACAAATTCCAGCACAGCCATAACCTAATTCTTCGCTTAAAATTGCATTTGTTATTGTATCCAAGCCTAATCCCCCTGAAATTTCTTAATAAAAATAAAATCAAACGAAGATTTAAATTGATTTAATAAAATTTAAATTTTAAAAAATCAGATCAATGAGGAAAAATTCGCTAGAAATTTAAAATATAATTTTTTTTTCCTATACTTACTATTTCTTATCACAATAAAACCAACCGTATTCAGTGGGAATTTCAGTATTCATCAGCCCTGTAGCGTGTGCTTTCTTTAAAACATTCCATGGAAATTCTCCAGTTCTGTCGAGGTCCATAGCCACAGGTATAACTTCGTCTCGAACGAATTTACGAGCAACTTCACGGAATTCTCGCTGTTCATCGGTGAATTCTTAATTTTTATGAGTGATTCTAACGATTACAGAAACAGTTACAATATTCAATTTATGAAAGAAGCAAACTTTTTTTGCCAAAAATAAGTGCTAATAAAAAGGAAAATATAAATTGTTAGTATGCTCCACTACTTCTGGTTTTCATTGTATGATTATAGCCGTACAAATTTTTGCCAGGAAGTCACTTGAAAATAGGTGATCTGGCTGCACCATACGTATTTGACGACAGCTTTAGTTCTACCGTTGGTAGGAGCCAAACTCTTGCCCTTCAACACGATGGGACACTGTCCGCTAGGTTAATTTACTCTCTAAAAGTTAAAGAAACTAAAAAATGAATAATTTTTTTCGCTAAAAACTAATTAATAACTAATTAATAATTAATAACTTAATTCATGTAATAAAAAAATTTTCAAAATTATCAATTTATTTCATGTTGATTACGGTGATAACCGGGAGTCAAGGGTTAGAGCAATTCTTCTTTTAAATCCTATCAATTAAAATGGAATCTTAGTGAGATTGCTAGCGATTCGCTTCCTCTTTGTGATTTTCCAAATGACTAGCTAGCTAGAGGTTTCCAGACCAAACTGAAAGTTTTAAATGGTGAAATAGAGTAATACCTTTACTGCATTAACCTGAACAACCATTCACATTTCCCTTAATCTTAATTATACGGCATTTCTTTATATTACATATTTCATAATGAATTTTACATCAGCAATTGTGCTCTTCAGACCACATGGTCACATCCCCATAACTGCTAGTAACTGCTAGTAATTTACCAGAAATTTGTGGAATTATATAAATTATTATATGAATATTATTATAATTATTATAAATTCGTTTTAAGAATATTTATGAATAATTATAAATTTACAAATAATTCTGAATTTACGAATTATATAAATAAATTTTAAAACTTATGCCCTGTCCTATTAATTTTTTTTAAAATTTCCTTCCGACATTCCATTTCTAAATTTAAATAAGTATTTTCAACAATAATAATCAAAAATTTTAAGGGGAATTGAGCGGGAAAAATGAGTAAATATAAATAAATACATATATATATATATATATAGTTACAGGATTCAAGATGCAGACTATAAGTACGCCTCAAAAACAGTTCAACCTTGTGACAGGATGTAAAATGCAAGCAGGAACAACAAAAACATAACCATATAGCTGGCATCACCTACAGGAGCATTTCCTCGGCTTAGATCTCGATGAAAATTCATATAAAATGAAAGTGAAAATTATTAAACGATTCAGAAAACGATTCAGCATTTTTGAGCAATAGATTGTGACTTGCGACAAATAAGAGAGATTTGTACTACTACTAAACAAATAATTTTTTATCCTTTCATTTCGTAAAAATAAATGATAAACTAAGTTCATTGCTGTTGACAATGAATTCGAAAAAACATGGATATGGGCGTCACGGATAAGCATGGCGGATATAACGAGAGTGAACCTTGTTTTTTTAGAAAATCATGAACCCGATAGGTAAAAATGCAAGTGACGTGGAGATCCATCTGTACTTCTATCACCAAATGACTCTCCGGCAAAAATTTCTGACCCTACACTAACAACCAGCGGAACCAGCCTAATCAGAAATGGCGAGCATTAATCACTTATCTACTGATAAGTGACGAAAATAAAAAAGTTATCCGATAAAAATAAAGGAACTAACGAAAGTTGAGTGCTTTTGATACATTTTTTACGCTTGTTGATGAAAATATTTGTCTTCTAGATGTTGAGAAGGTTTTAATGAAATTCTTTGAAAGCATCTAAAATAATAAACAACATTAAATATTCAAGTTCGCCTTCGATTGCGAAATATGAGCAAACGGTAAGAATTAGGTTTGCTCTGGCCACTAAGGCCAAATTATTCCATAGGTTCACGATGAGTCTCCTTGACGGAGGCAACTTGGCGATAAAAGTGAAATACAGGAGCTGCTAAAGGTTCACCTTTGACACCAAGTAATATTTAATATCTTAACATCTAATCTAGTAAAATTAGATCGAACATAAACATCTCTCAAATGCAATCTTCTATTTTCTACAAAGCCCCATCCCCTCTTTCCCTTCCTCACCCCCCTCTTCCCCTCTCTCATCCCCCGCCTTTTCTCTCCTCCTCCCCTCCTTCGCCCCCCACCCCTTCACCAGTTCTTTTTCTTTTCGACCACCATTAAACCAGCCGAGAAAATCATAATATAACAATTTCGATTCGATCAATCAACATAACTGAAATCGAATGAACTTCGTACCTTGTACACTGAAATGTGTAACATTAAATGATTGATAAAAATAATTTATCAAAATTTTTCGCAATTTTTCAAAAAATATTCACAACAATGAAATTTTTGTAGAAGTGGATTTGTAGAAAAAGAATTTCTGAATATTCATTGGGATGATTAGAAAATCGATGGATCTTTTTCGGCGCAAAAAATGCGAAAAAATCTGACCTTTGATGTCTGACCTTCCACTGACCCCAAAGCTTGGAACTTCGTTGACCTTTGAGGTCATATCGTCCACTAACCACTGGCACTCTACGATTCGATGAACAAATATGAAATACGGTGCGAAAATGATTACCAAAAAAAATTCCATCCTCTTCATCCTCGTTCTTCTCCTGTGAGGGAGCCTTCCGTTTAATTGAAGGGAACTTCGGTTCTGCAAAAAATACTATCGAAAATGAAAAGAATCGTAGAATGTGGAAGAATCAGGTGAATAATTTCCTCACTTAATGTAAAAATGTGTTGTGCCTTCGAACTCAATAATAACTACACAGAATGATGAAGAGGAAAAATCTAAAGAATTTGCCCAGCGATATTTCATGAGACTCGCATTGCTCGGCCGATTTACGATGGGCTGATTTCCATGAAACTTCAGTTTCAGTTATGTTATACGAGCCACAATGTAAGCTCTGATAATTCCAAAATTCATGCCAAAAATGTTTTGCTTAATCCGCTGAAGAATCATTTAATATCTACGACAATTAAAGAAGGCATTAATATGGGATTTCGTTGGACCAATTTCTGTTCGCGAAGTATCTGGCAAAAACAGAGAACTTAATGATGGACTGAACCAATTACTCAATGGGAGGACAACCTGTTTAATTTGTGAAATTGGACCAAAAGTCGATATCCACTGTTAGCCAGGAGAATTGAAAATTATTGCCAGCCCAATAAACGTGCCAACTCAAAGAGCATATGGCACCGCATATTCGGCCTAATCACAGGATGTCGCGCAGAAATGTTAATTTTTCTGAAGCCAAATCAAAGTTATTATTTTATTTAGAATTTCTTCTGGTTTTATGTCCCATTCTATAATGAAATCTTAACGAATCTTAAAAATATCTTCTGTTTTTCATGTTTTGTTCTGCAATGAAACCTTTCCTCCGGCTGAAATTTGCACCATTTTCTACTTATTTATTATTTAACGATTTTTGATGGCATAAATTGTGGGTGGAGCTATTACAGTGCTACGTTGAATTTATATTGGTCTTTTTGTTCCCAAACTTTTCAATTTTAAGATTTTACAGGATTCAAAACTATGGGAATGACCAGTGTTCTTCATTAACATGTCGGGGAGCCCCGTGGTTTTTGTTAGGTTCTTGGGTATATCAGAGGTTTTCAACATACTTTCAAGGGAATCTATACAAACTTACAACGATTCTTTACTCTCCACCAATCCGCCAAAGCGACCGCAACTTTTGCCAGGTTTATCCTTGGTTGAAGGGGAGCTTGTAACTCTTTTCCAACTGCTAATGTTTTCCTGAAGTAGTTTGAATCCTAATAATATAGGTTTACTATGAGAATCGACTGGGTATGCTACAATATTAAGTATAGCGTTAGGCTTTTAATTTGGTATTTGTTTCGTAAAGTTTGCTGTCATTTTTCAAATAATAAATCATTTAAGCATAGCAAATTGCTACTTTTTACCAATTATATCGATTTATTTCTTAAATTATTTTATTTTTAAATGGTACTAACTTTTTTATTTTTTTAGATTGTTTTTCCTCCATTTCCGAAATTTTTCTTGAAATTTTTCATTTATTATTTTTTTTTTTTAGATGGATGTTTCAGAAATAACGAATTCATCGACAAAACTTATTAAAATTGATGAAGTAAGGCAGATTTCTTTTTCACCTAAAAAATGATTGATTTCATTAGTTTTTTTCCTCATTTTGTGGGAACTATTGCTGCAAATGTTTAAAATTTCTTTGAAAAAAATTGAAAATTTCTTGGAAGTGAAGCTTATGAGATTTCGAATTATTTGGTTTTCAAATTAACGTAATGTTTTTGAGGTCAAATCAACAGCTCGAAAACAAAGAGTGGCAGCGCATAGTCATGTTAAAGGTTTAGGATTGTATCCTGAAACATATACTGCTAAAAATTTAGTAAGTTCATTCTGCTATTCGGTAATAACAGCATATGAACTCGATATTAATATATAAAGAGAAAAGATGGAAAAAATTAAGGTTTTCTTGTTCTTTTGTTTTATTTTATAATATATATTTTTTTCTTCCATATTTAAAATTTTTCGCATTCAGTAGAATAAAAACGAAAGTTATGAGGAATTTTTCGGCGAATTGATAGAAAAAATAAAAACAATGATTACAATGGATTTATGAACAATTTTCTCAAAATTTTTAAATTTATGAGAAACTATGAATATCTAGAGTTTAAATTTTAATTTATAGCCATAAAGCCTGCGAAATTTTTCACGCTTTCAGGCCAGCGGATTTATTGGTCAAGTGGAAGCTCGAGAAGCAGCTGGTATAATTGTCGACTTAATAAAAACGAGGCGTATGGCCGGACGAGCTGTTCTTTTGGTTGGACCTCCAGGCACCGGAAAGGTATTTTTTGTTTTGTTCAATTTTCTTATATTAGTCTATGTTTATGTTTATAGACAGCAATAGCATTGGCTATGGCACAGGAATTAGGCGACAAGATTCCATTTTGCCCTATGGTCGGATCAGAAGTATTCTCATCAGAAGTTAAAAAAACAGAAATACTTATGGAAAACTTCCGTCGCTCAATAGGTAATTTGCCTAAAGGAATTTGTACATCAGATAAATTAAATGCTTTTTGAAGTATTTTGTGTATTTTTCAAGATTTATATTGTTTCATTTATAATGTAATTATATTTATAATGTTTATAAACGAAATAAATATTTATATTTCATTATATTTCATTTGTTTGTTTGTTTGAAGGGTGAATATCAGCTTTATATAGAGCTGAACTAAAACTTTCATTATATTACGATATTTATAAAAAATATCTGAAATGAACGATTTGTCATTTTTATTTCCTTCAGGTCTTCGTGTAAGGGAAAAGAAAGAAGTCTATGAAGGTGAAGTAACTGAATTGGTACCAGTTGAAGTTGATAGTTCAAGTGGAACTTATGGGAAGGTTGTTCAAACCTTTTAATTTATTATTTTTACATTTATATAGCCAGCTCAAGGCCTAATTATAATATATTAGTTTCCAGACTATATCACATATACTTTTAACACTGAAAACAACTAGAGGTACTAAACAGCTGAAATTAGATCCTACTATTTACGACAGCATTTTGAAGCAACATATCGAATTGGGTGATGTTATATATATTGAAGCAAATACGGGTGCAGTAAAGGTTATTTTTGAAATTAATAGCTGATTTAAAAAAAGCTAATATATATGTAATTTATGTTTTATTACGGAATTCATTTAGCGATTAGGACGCTGTGATGTTTATGCCACTGAATTCGACTTAGAGGCTGACGAATTTGTTCCTTTACCTAAAGGTGATGTTCACAAATCGAAGGAAGTAGTTCAGGTATCAAATTTTCCATTTTCTTTCAGAGGGAATCCTTTTTTAGAAAAAAAAATCTAGATTGTTTGTGGCATATTTTGATTTCTTTTATGACATAATTTTTATGTCATATTTAGCCCCACTTGAATTTATTTTTGATTTATTAGGGCCTCAGATATAAATTATATTTAATGCAATTTAGCTTTAATGTGACTTTTTTTTCAAGATCGTAGATAGTTTTAGGATGTGACATTACATGATCTGGATGTTGCAAATGCGCGTCCTAAAGGTGAAGGTGGAGATATGTTATCTTTGCTAGGCCAGCTAGTCAAACACAAAAAGACCGAAATTACTGATCGTCTTCGCAACGAAATAAATGCGGTCGTTAATGATTACATTGATCAGGTACTTTTTATGCTCATTTTTTGGAATAAACCATTTTCGAAAACATTCTTGCGCCCAACGCAACCAGTGACTATTTTAAAGAATTGAGAGCTCAGTCCTAAATTTTAATAATTGACAATTCAATCTAAAATTTTAAAATTTTAAATTCATACTTATTTTCTTTTAGGGAATAGCTGAATTAATGCCTGGTGTTCTCTTTATTGATGAAGTTCATATGTTAGACATCGAATGTTTCACTTATCTACATCGTGCTCTGGAAAGTACCATTAGTCCTATTGTTATATTTGCTACCAATCGCGGACGATCTAAAGTGCGGTAAGAATTAAGTAAATATTTATCTTGGAAAAATTGAAAAAACCTTATTTTGTTCAATTGGATACTTTTTAATTTTTTCTACTTTTTTTACTTTTACTTATATATATTTACCTTTTTTCAGTGGCACTGAAGTGTTTTCAACCCATGGAATTCCATCAGATTTGCTTGATCGTATTCTTATAATTACAACGAAACCTTATAAATTCGACGAAATTTTGGCAATAGCCAGAATTCGTGCGGAAGCAGAAGCAGTTCAAATTGATGAGGAAGCACTTAATTTTCTTGGTGAAATAGGAGTAAAAACTTCCTTGAGATATGTAACTCAACTATTGACGCCTGCGAAATTATTGGCTCAGGTAAACGGACGCGACTTCGTTTCGGTATAATTTTTGTCTATCAGAAATAATTTATATATAATCAAATGATTTTTTAAATAGATGATCCTTCTTTTCCCTTTATCCTGAAAGATAAATTATAGTTTGATGACATAAAACAGTGTTCGGAATTATTTATTGATGGAATACGATCTTCTCAAATAATTCTCGCTGAACAAGCTGCTAATGCTGAATCTATAATGAAAACAAATAGCACTGAAACACCAATGGAAACTGATAGTCGTTAATCCATTTTTTTCATAAATTTTTTTTGTTGAAATATAGTGCTAATTATCTATTATATACAATCATTTTGATTTTAGAATATTGCTTTAGGTGGACAATATTTTTTGTTAATGAATGGACGTATATCATTGATAATTCTCAGATTAATGAAATTCTTCAAAAAATTTAAATATTGTGCTATTAATATATTGTTGATCTCGCCATCTGTTTGAAATAAAAATTTTTGCTATTATTTTTTTTATATTCCATGGCGGAAGAGTAATTTTCTTATTATTTATATTGTCGATTGATTTAATCTATTTTTTACAATGTTAACGAGAAATTTTTGATGGGAAAATATCGATATTAATTAAGGTCGTTTTTATGTCTGAAGGTGACATATGGGATTCCATTCCCGACGATGAGTTGGAAGAAACGATCATGGAACGATTGTGGGGACTTCGCGAAATGTTTCCAGAATCTTTTAGGAGTCGTGTTGACTATTCAGTGCGATTAGGAATTTGGGCCACTCAAATGGGGGTGGGTTTGAATTTTTCTTTCTTCATTTCTAGTGTCAGAGAATCTCCCAGTACAGCTGCATTAATTAACTTTTTAAATCAAGGTTATTTTTAAATTAAATCATTTATATTTCTATTACTATAAATGTTCGCATTTCGTATGTGGAGAATGAATGTAATTTTTTTTTTATTTGGTTTATTTAGTTTGTTTTAGTTTATTTTTTGTTTTTGGTGGTGGAAGTTTTTAAAATTGCGAAGAAAGGGATTTCTTTAATGTGCTTAAGTAGTAAGAGTTTTACTTTTAGTATGCTATATTTTATAATGAAAATTCATATCCAAAGTTTCAGTTTTCGTTGTTGAGGTCTATTGTTTGGATTGGTGCGACTACTGGCTTGGTTATGTGTGTTCCTTATATGATTGAAAAAGAGCGAGCTGAAATGGAAAAGACTCAGGTTAATTTTTTCATTTTTTTTGTTTTTTTCCATGCTATTTATCTACATCCTTTTTGATTTCAGAATATTGCCTTGAATATTGGTAGTTCTCAAATACTTTTCAAATTATTGAAATTCTTCAAAAATATTTCAAATATTGTACTATTGATATATTGTTAATCTGATCATCTATTTGAAACAAATATTTTTGCTATTATTTTTATTATAATCCATTTTTAATTTATCAAAAGTTTTCATTTTGATATGCTTTGCCAACTTTTTTTCTTAAATTTTGTCGTAATTTTCATTCAACATTCCATTTTTATTTTTTCCCTGTAGTTTTTTGTTAATTAAAGCAAAAAACTTCTTTAAAATGAAAGAAGTGGGATTTAAAATGTATACTTGTGGCTTCTATTCTTATTTTTTTTCTTCATTTAGATTGAACAGCAAAAAAAGTTATTACTTGGCCCTACAAGCAGTTCGCTGAAGAGCAAACAATCTTGATGGTGAAGTGCAAATATGTTCATTGAAAAATAGAAAACTTATCGAAAGTTTCTCAGAAAATAAATTTTTTTTTTAGCATATTGATTGTCCCATATATGATTTTAAAAAATTTGATGTTTTGTTTTATATAAATGTTTTTCTATCGAGTTTTTGTCAATAAAGTGTATGTTTATAATAGATTTCATGATTAATTAAATATGCTTAATATCTGCACAATATATAAAAATAAAAATCTTATTGGAATGGAACTTCTGTCTTTATAGTTTATTTCTCGGTGCTGGTTTGCCAGTATCGTTGAGGTATGATATTTATATTAGGAATATTTGGTATTTTTTTATCATCACTATGCTACTGTGGAATGTTATAGGTTCGAATAAGGTTATGAACGCAAGGTGGGCAAATTATAGCAAATTAATTTTGAGAAAATTGTCCATTGATGTAGGGTGGATGTTGGTGAAAAATAGAGTAAAAAAAGAGGAAATGAAAAGTGGACGTGCGGGAGCGTTGAATAATTGAAAAAGCTTTAGCGTTGAACATGTTTGTTCTTCGAAGAGATGTTATATGCTTACGTGGGGGCGTTATTTTTGGCGTTAGCAAAGTGGATTTAAAGTCTATACGCAGTGGTAAGCCGAAGAAAGCGCATGTCGAGTTTCAAAATGAAAAAAATATTGACCAGCATCCCAAATTCAAAGTAAGTTTTTTTCCATACTTTCGAAATTGAGCATTTCAGTCGAAATTCCGGCTAAATGTGAATTTTCAGATAAGAAATTTGATTAAGGAAGAACCGCATAAAGAAGTTGATGCAGGTAACAACCCCAAAAATCGTGTCGAAAGTGGAGCGAGAAGTGCATCAGTGGACAGCAACGATGATATTGCGAAGGCGAATTGTTTTAGTTCTTAAGCTAAATATTATTAAATTGGAGATGCTGGTTTGAAAATTTTTAGCCTATTTTACCATCGAAATTTCCAGTTAGAAGAAAAATTTGGAGGTAAAGAATTATTATGGAAAACGAGTAGAGGCGATGTATCAGTGACCTGTAATTTCTACTGAAGTTTATTCGGCTCAAGATAACGATATTTTCATGTTAAAATGATCTCAGTTGAAATGCATTTTAAAATTTATTGTTTTTTATTACTTCTTCCAGATTTGTTCGTTTGAACGTATCGTTAATCGATATCGTAAAATTTTATATACAGAAGGTGAAATTGATGGAACTGATTTTTCTTTACCTCCATCCAGGTTTGCCTTAAATTTATTGACCTTTTAATTTGACAAAAATTTCCTTCTTGTGTTTTCGAACTTTACTTCTGATTGCTTTCTTTTGTTCCGTATTCTATAAACTTTGTGTATTTTTTTCGTTTTTTTAGGTCTAATCCATATCCATTTGATCCATCTGTTGATCCCACTTTGCTTCCTCCTACACATTCTCGTTCTTTAGCAAATTATGTCAATCATGTGCCTCTTCTTCAGAACTTGGTCGATTTAGGTGTTAGCCTTTTTCATGTTGGTAATTTCAATTTTGCCACAGTTTCGTCACAGTTATTATTTTATCATTTTTCAAAAATTAATTTTTGTTTGACTTGAAGAATTTTTCTTCCTGTGATAAAGATTTTTATTTAGGACTTTTTGAAGTCTTTATTTTGCCTAATTTTGTTTATGATTTTAAAGGATAAATTTTTTATTTCACAATTTTAAAACTAATTTTTCAAAATTCTAAAATAAGAAGCGAAAAGGGAAGGAAAAGAAAAGCCTGAGGGCATGGCACAACATTATGAGTATTCATATCTTTCATTCTCATCTCTTTTTTTATTTCTTTTATGTGGGAAGTTAAAGTGAATTGATCATGATTTTGAGTTGAGGTCGGGATAATAGAATCATATTTTTAGTATAAAATTTATTTTATTTACATCTTTGAAATCATTTTCAGATAGATACGGAAACAAACATAGGACATAATTTGTTGAAACTAGATTGGGTTAAAGATGTTCGTGTTAAATTGAAATGGTTGATGAGCATAGGAATTCCTGCGGAAAATTTAGGCATATATATCACAAAAAATCCATACTTTCTTCTTCAGAATCTCGATGATATGAAGGTTCATTTTTCTATTATTGGTTCGTAAAATTAACTTCCATCCTTCCATCAGATTCCTTTCATCTTATTCTTTTCTTATTTCATTTACTTTATAAAATTTCTCGCATTTGTACTTTTGTAAAATACCGTTTCCTATTGTTTTTGTTTTTATTTCATAAGAGTTCGAAATATTAAGCAACCAAAAAAAAAAGTGAAATTTTATTTCAGGTACGAGTGAATTATTTGCGATCGAAAAAATTTAAAAGGCAAGAAATCATCAAAATAATTCTAGAATACAGGTTTTATACTACATTATTCTAAAATATAATTTATTTCTTTATCTAGTTTTTTTCACATCCTAATTGCTTCATTAAATTATTTTGCATAGATTTTGGATAAATACAGCAGTTCGTATAATAGATGCTCGCCTGGGCTGGATTCAGAAAACTTTCTCATTATCTGGAAAAGAGGTTCGTCAACTGGTTATAAAGGAACCGAGAATTATAATGAATGGAATTGCTTCTTTGCAGGTAAAAATTTCAATTTCAATAACGCAATTCAGCAACTGTTTTTCTTATAGTTTATAAATTAAAAAAAAACTTACACGTTAAATCATTTATATTTTCTTTTTTTCCCATTCGTTTGATATTAACTGACTATTTTTATGATTATTTTCTTCGAAATCCGAAATTTTCTTGATTTTTCAGAGAATGGTTGAATTTTTTTCAAAAGACTTGGAATTTGACGGAAAAGAAATTAAAAAAATGGTTCTAACAGATCCTCGACTATTCATTTGTGGTTTGTTTCAGTCAATCTTCGTTTTTATTTTTTTAAAAAGCACTCATCGTTTTTTTTTTAAAAGAGCATCCACAATTACTGGTTAAATTCGCTTTGCTGGCTTGCCGGAATGATAAATATAAATATACCAGGAAGTCACTTGGCGACAGAAATACACGTGGGTCGCTAACACGGTTTTTTGAAAAACTGGAAATCCTCAACATCGGTGCTTCAATTTGCAAAATTTTTGGCAACTCTTTGAACCAATTTTACTCTGCTTCTGTCCGTCATGCGACACCACGACAGCACCACCCGTAGGGTTTGTGCATCGGCAGATTCGAATCTAAGCTTCGGTTTTCGATGGCAATCATTTTGCCACTGAGTCACCAAATTTTTTTCCTGTTATTTTATCTTTCTTTTTTATTCCAACTTTTTTAGATTTGTCATTGGTCGATCAAAACTATAAGTTTTTACACAACTCAATAGGCTTATCGAATGGTGAAATTATCAAGTATCCTCTTGCTTTACGTTGTCGTCTTTCCTCATTAAAGGAACGATTCAATTTTATTAAGCTATTAAAAGAAACGGATAATTTGCCAAAAAATTCATCAATTTCTCTCGAAAAAGTCCTCCATCCATCTGATAGTTATTTTACTCGGAATGTTGTTCGAACAACCCTTAACTCTTATAATAATTTTCTGAAAAAAATTTAATTTTTGCACGAATTTTTCATACATTCACCCTTTTCTTTAATTACTATAGTTCTTAGGGTACTACTGCTATATCTCTTAACCGATTTGCAATTTGCAACTTACCAACATCAATTTCTAGAATTTCAGCACATTTAATGGAACTTGAAAAGAATAATAAACATTTTTTCCATAACGTTATTCTTAAAGTTTATGTTTTGGCATACTATTCACGAATATGTTAATTAAAGTTTATGTTTTGGCATACTATTCACGAATATGTTAATTTATTTGTGATTATTTCCATGTAAAATTTTAAAACTTTGGCAACCTGCAACTTCTATAAAGTTTTACATCATTTTATTATTATCGATCTGCAGCCGATAAGAATATTAAACCAACTTGTCTTTGTAATTAATAAAAAAAGCAATTTTTTTAAAGCAAAAACATTCTGAAACACTCAAAAATTGCAAGCAGCGATTTTTGGCATTGTTCGGCCCCATTTATACGAAGAAGAGGCTAATGACAAGTTTTTCCGATATTTGGTGCAGAATTTTTTCTCACAGATACGGAATGAACCATTATCTTTCATCGAAAATATAAAATATTTTTTCAAGTTCTATTTTTAAATGATGGAAAGAATATAGTTTTTGAAGTGTTAAAACAAGTACAAAAGGAAATAAAAGAAATGATAATACCTACATACAAGAGAAATAATTTTAATACCATGTACCATGGTTTCCACAGTTCATCTCGAAGTAATAATTATGCGAAGAGGAATTAATCAGTCCTAATAAAAAAAGACAAAAATCCATATTTGCACTTCAAGTCAATTTATGCAATTAGAAGATTTAAAACAGCCAACTATTAAATAAAACATGAAATTCTATAACTTAAAATCTCGTTATTTTCGTTCTATAATAAATAATAAAATCAACGAATCTATGAAAGAAAAGATAAAGATCATACAAAAAAACTTTTGGTTATGTGACATTGGCAGCAGCCAGGTGGGCAAATTATCATCAAACAAAAATCTCAAAAATCCCTAAAAAGAATTATAAAAAATGTGAATTTTGTGTTAATTTATTAATAATCACTAAAATGTGTTCCAAAACGCCAAAAAAAATAACATAAAAATAAAATAACTAATAAATTCTTATGAAATTATAGTGATAAATTAATTATAAATTAAAAAAGGACGTAGGGGATAAATTATTTTAAAGGTGACGCATCAGACATAACAGACAAGTTCATTAATGGATTTACTTCGTGGGACTTCTTTTCCACAAAAGATATGGTTACAATTTTTTCTTTATTTCTGGACTGTTCAAGATTATCGCGTCCGATATGACGATGTTTAAACCTTTTTATCAAGGAATGCACGCCGACAGCCATTAACAAAGGTATTGGTGTCATACTTGCAGCAATAACAGGAATTAAAGCACTAATATCTGCGTCCGGATCAGGAAAAGAAATCTAAATTAAATATAAATAAAAAATTTGCAATAAAATATCTCCTTATTAATTACAACTAATTCGATTTTACGATCTTTTTTCATAAAATTTTATTAAAATGAAATTACAATAAACTACAGAAGACTTATTCCATGAACTTGCGAAAACATACTTTAAGAAGAAAGATCGCGATACCCGTATTTTGAATCCCTGTTTCAATGGAAATAGCAGTGACATTAGGAGGATTCTGGCGCAGAAAGATTGCAGCAAGACAGCCTATTCCAAAACCACACCATGGCAATAAAAGGCCGCTAAAACTATCGTTAAATTACATGACACAAATTCATTTAAAATAATCTATAAAAAATCCATAACAAAGTGAACAAGGATCTCATACAAAAAATTTTTCCTCTATTTATTAATATACAGCTTATGTAGTATAAATGAAATGAATGCTTCCGAAAAAAGCGTGATAGAGGCCGCAGAATCTTTGATTTAAATCTTTATGAAACTACCCAAAATTCACATTCAGAGAAAAATTCCTCCAAATCCCACCAAATGCCCCCAAAATAATCTACCTCAACTCGTTTTTGCTCCTTTAATTCCCTCACTTGCACCATTTTATTTTAGTATCCTAAAATGCAGAGCATTTTTGTAATGACTACTAGCTAAGATCGGAAAGAACAACATGGGAAGGATACACAACGAGCATAGGAAGGTGAGAGTATTCGGAAAGAATAAAAAGGAATCTTTCCATTGGGAAAAGTGTAGAAAGATTCGAAGAGATGTTAAAAGATGAACTTCGAGATAAGCTGAGCGATAGACTAAAATATCTGAAAATCTACTCGTTTGCAAAAGCAATCTTTTTTTCCAATAAAAAAATAGATGGAACTTCTAATCTAAACATAAAACAGAAAAAAATGAATGAAACAAACCCGGAAACAGCCCTTAATGTGATTATTCGGAGCATATATAAATTTGCTATCGTTCCAAAGACGATTAAAAATATTAAAACGAATATAATAAAAGGTCGAGAAATCTAAAAAAAAATTTTAATTTTAAAAAATTTTAAAAAAAATTAAAATTAAAAAATTTTAATTTATTTTTTTGAAAATCAACGTGAATTAAAATTGAAGAGATCAAAAGAGATTTTACAGTGAAAGTATCCTAAAATTTATTTTTATTTTAAATTTAAATTTTATTTTAAATTTGAATTTATTTTAAATGTTCACTTGAAAATAGATAGAGGGAAATAACCTTTTTGGCTTTCTCTTGCCAATGGGGCTTCCATCGTGCAAGCATTACTCCGATAATAAGAGGTATAACCATCGTTAGCAATGAGGAAACAATTTTCCAATATGGTATGGTGATATTGGCTTCAGGATGATAATCTTGTAAAAAATGTGAACTCAGCATGTAAATCCATAATGGCATCATAACTGAAGAAAAACTATTGAAGACAAAATTGATCTTTCAAAACAGAAAAGAAAAAAGTTTGATAATTAAATTATCCAGGAAAAAAAATTTTGGAATTATTAAAAATTTCGAAAACACAAATGACAATGAAAATTTTTTTCTGCACAAAAAATGTTACATAGTGCAGCTAGTGAACTGATAAAGGTCATTGTCACTGATACAGCCAGATTTCCATCAAGTAAAACGGTCCAATAATTGCTCGCACCACCACCAGGTGCACATCCGGTAACGAAAAGACCAAGTGCGAATGAATGCAAACCATATGGAAGAAAAACGACGTTCGCGATTGCAAAAGACAACTATAAAATAAAAAGCATGTTGTATGCTTAATAGTAATCCGAGAAAAATAAACTAAACTTTGGCAGTTATTAAATTCTAAAATAAATTAATTCGATATTAATATTAATAAATTAATTAATAAATTAAAAAAATAAATATTATAAATTTGAAAACTTCATTTACTTACTAACGGCATTGCTAGAAACTGAGTGCAAAAGCCAATGAACGGTGCGACTGGGATTTTTATTGCCGATAAAACCATATTTGTGTCCAACTACAACAAAATATCAAAATTCTTGGATATAACATTATTTAAATATAAAAATTAGATTTGTTCTCAAAGTATTTAATGATTTAATTTTAACATATTTCATTTGAATAATGAATCGAAGTACTTGCACTCATTAAACTTTAATCGCCTTCTTCAGTAAAATTCAGTTTTTCAGTAAAATTTAAAAATATATAATTTAGTTCTTATAATTTAGACTGATTATCTCTGATAGTCAGATTGCTCATTCCAGTTGAGATTTCATAGATTTGAAAAAGAATTTGAGAAAGCTGAGCTTATAAATCTAATAAACCAAGAACCTCGAAGCCCATCAACACATTCGCAATAACAATTAATATAATCAGTGTAGAAAGAAAAATTCGATTAACGAGTCGCTTGCTATCTTGAGATACCCAAACATCAAGCTCAGCAGTGACATCCTGGTGCTAATTTGGAAATTTCAAAAAAATTAAACAAACAAAAACTGAAAGAAATCGAGATTTATATTACATTGTAAATTTACAAATACATATTTTGCCTCCCACTACTAATTTTCAATCATTTACTTATGTAATTTGAATGAGATTCGAAATCTTTAAAGTGTAATTAATTAAACTTAATTAATTTTTAATGAAGGCAAAAAAAATTCCACTCTCAACAAATTTTGAAATAAAAAAGGGTAACAGAAATATCCATTTTCCAATAATTAGTATCCAAAATAGAGACAAACCTTTTCTATTTCATAAGCAAAAGGATCATCATTTTCCGATAAACTATCGTTTGCCAATTTGAAAGAAGCTTTCATCGAAATCTTTCCCAGAAATAAACCCGTAACCGTCACATTGTACTAAACAAAAAATTTTCTTCCCTTCACTATGGTACAATTAGAAGGAATATAACTATTGAAAAAAGCAAATAAAGAAATGGATGAAAGAAAAATACGAAAAATTGGCGTAAAATACCATTAATGATGTATAAGAATAAATTTTACGCATTTAACCATAAATATCTAAGTAAACTAACTTTATAATTGAGAAGACCATTAATTTTACGAAAATCACTTAAAGTCAATCTTTTCTCTGTTTCCACAGGTATAGCAATGCCTTCATCACTTGATCTACAAAAAAATAAAAAATTAAATGAAATTTTTTGAATGCAGAAGAATAATGGCTAAAATATGTGAAACGATAACAAATTTCTCAAAATTTTTTTTTAACAGAGAAAAATCAAAGCGAAAGTTTCGAATATATTAATCTTTCTTAAATCTCTCTTCTGCACTGCATATCTTAATCGCTTACAAAAATAATATTTTCTTACTTGATATTAACTTTCCATGCATTATGGTGCGAGTAATGCTCATATTCCGTATTCATATCAATCAACAATTCAACAGTTCTATTTTTGCCAACAATAAGATCATGAATATATGGTGGATCGAACTTCATTGAAGCAAACCATTTTGCATTTGCTGTTACCATTATAAATAAATTTAATAAAATTTGTATTATCGCCATAAATGGACAATTGCTTAACGAAGCCATTTATTAGAGAATCTATAAAAATTATTGTCGTAATGTTATTATTTTTCCAATGCTTTAAGCTGGAGGGGAGGCTAACCGCAAATTCGCGTTTGATTTAATGATTTTTTTTTAAAGTAAGAAAATTTAAAAAAAGGAAAATCAAACTAAACTATAAAAGCTAAAGCAAATATCAGCTAAAATTATAAAAATAAACATTGAACGAGCAGGATGACCGCAATATTTTGCTTTACTAAGCTCAAACTATCACAGATTCGATGTTCGCATCCTGCCGTATATGAGCAAATCCGTTAGTAAAAACACTAATAAAACCATTTCAAACCAATCTGTTAACGGATTTCATTAGAAAAATTCTAGAAAATCTGTTGTCAAAAGAAATGTCCAAGTATTTAAATAAATAAATTAACGAAACGAAACTATAAAAAGAAATCCTTTCGTTGAAAAGCAAAATTAAATCGAATAATTACGCAGGACGACTGCTCGCTGTGCAATGAATTAAGAATGAATGAAGGTGAAAACGCTAACGAAACAGCTGATATAGCTTAGTAATAACAAAAAAATATCCATAAAAAGTCGCAAAACAAGGTCAGATTGTTGACCTTTACCTTACAACTAAAGCGAATTTTCCGATAAATTTAAATTTTTGCTTTTTTCTTGCAATTTTTCCAGTTCCCTCTAATCGCTTTCTGTCACATCAAAATAGGCGCTAGCGACTTACCTATACTTCTATCATTGACATTACCAACAATTTCCAAACGTATTAACAATCAGTGGATTGAGCCTAACAAAAAATGATCAGATCTGCTTATCTAATCCCAAAAATATTCATTTATTTGATAGGAATGTATTCAATCAAAATATTTTCTAATATTTTCTACTTACTGCTAAGATAAAATAATTTAATAATATGTAAATTATTTATCAACCATGAGATCTTCGTCCAATAAAATTAATTGGACTGATTTTTGATGCAATAAAAGTTTTGCATAAAGCACCTAAAAGAGAATAAATTACTTGTGTATTTATAAATATTACCTAAGAAAATAACTACAAGTAGTAGAAGCAATCCAAAAACTGCTGAATCTAAAATTTAAATCCCTCTCACTTATCACAATTAGATACATTAAGTTCATTGCAAAAAATTCAACACTGTCCACTCTGCCCATTTTAAATTTAATAAATTAACTTTAACCAAAAATTTACTATTTTGTTAAAAATATGGATAAGTTTTTACTCCCAATCTCGATATTTTTTTTGTAGATAAATCAGAAGCAATTATTAAATTTGAGGTTGGAACACCATGATGGAGTTGGAAAAGACGGCGAAAGTCGTCGGAAGATAGATGGAGAGAATAAAGCACTCGAACTGAGCGATATTAATGCAAAAAGCATTAAAAGAGAGAACTCTGCGAAAATCAGAAGATCATGAAAAAAATCATGAAATTTGTAACCAAGGTGACTGAAAATTAATTCGAACGTCACCTAAACGTCTCTTAAGGTAAATTTCTCAACTTAAAGAACGTAAACATCACTCCATTTCATTAAATAACACTCAATGAAACAGAGAAAAATTCTTCAAATCCATTAGAAACTTTAGGCGAAATGCAATTCACCAATAATTTGAGATAAAACTGAAATTTCACGACGACCTAACGAAAATTTCATTCATCGCCGTTTTTATTTCATTTTCCTTAAATATTTATAAACAAATTTGAATCAAATTTTTCATCCATCTTTTCCAATATTTTTAAGTGGAATATCATTGTCGCCACAATTTTTTACTCTCTAAAATACTCACATTCATCTACGGACGTGATGTCATCTTTTCAACGATGTTGCCGTAAGCACATCCGTCACGACTGACTTATTTTTTTTGCAATATTTCAGTAAAAAATTGCGAAAAATGGGTAAAATGATGAATTTCCTGCAATAACTATATTTTATTCAACGATTCCTTTGACCTTGAAATGTTATTGAGTTATTTGCAACGATAAATAGCAAGCTGTTATATAGCTTAGATTATCATCACACTTTGTTATCATTTTAATAATCACTTTGAGACCTATTTGGCCTCTTGATAGAAAAAAAATACTGGAGATTTTCCACTTGTGCTTCTATCTACAAATCTCCCTCGTAAAAGCATTTTATATTTAGCCAGTGGAACAACCCTAATCAGAAATGGTAAGTGCTGGAAGAAAAGTGTAAAAGTGATGTAATTATTGAAACTAGTTTAAACTAATGAATAAAGAATTTATCTAATAGCTCCTTCGCTTGATTCATTCAAACTGATCTGATTGAATTTTACCTGAAACTAGCAAAAAACTAAATAATACCTTTTAAAGGACGAGAAACTAAACTTGAGGAAGACTTCTGCGCATAATTACGCAAAAATACACGATACACAAAACCACTCTTCCGTCTTTGTATATTTTACTAAAGTTAAATTCTGCTAACCAATAAGAAGCTCTTCGCTAGAATAAGCATTTATACACTGAAAACCAGTAAGAACACCATGTTCCTATATGATTTCCATCGACCAGAAGCTAAAAAATTCAAACAAGGAAAAAGGAGAAACATAGAAGAAATAAGAGTAGCCATACCCTTCGACGAAACAGTTTTAGAATCAATATATAAAATCTTGTTTTCTTAAGCGACTCAACATAAAAAACAATGAAATTTTTGAGACGATTCTCGCATGACAGATTCCAGAAGCTTTATATTAGCTGATAAACGATATCTGAGTGAAAAAAATGGAGGACTGATAACTAGAAATGTAGCAAGTAAGAGAAATGGCTCTATTCTCATGCTCGAAGTATTTTAGATAACTCACCCAACGTAAAAGATATCATATAATATGAATGGATAGGTAGAAGGGCGATTCGACGATTTGTTTGGTGGGCAATGACCTCTTATTCGGTGACCTTTTCCTTGCGCGGAACAAAAACGCACCTACGACGACAGTCGGTTCTATAAAACAATAATTTTATAAATTAAAGAAATAAAGGAAAAAGCAATAAATCGAAAAAGAAACCTAAGCGAAATTCAATATTAATAGAGAATGAAAACTTGAACTACGCTATTAAAATTAAATTTTACGTGAAAATCCTGAAATTGAGCAAATCTGAACAATTTTTAAAAAAGATAAAACGAAATAAAAGTGATGAAAATATTGCATCTGTGAAATTGAGCGAATATTCGCACGAATGAAACCAACTCATTGCATGATTGACGAATGAATGATCAATAAGCAACTAATTTCCACCTTTTATTAGTACTTTTACTGGAACGTAAACAACTTATCCTGATTTTGCCCTCCATAAAACCTTTTTTTAAGCAAAATTTGACGTCCAATGACGACTCCAACAGCTGTTTTTCTTGAATAAATTATAAATAAATCAGTGCAAAAACTCAAAAAAGCGACTGAAAAGCAAAAAATCAAAGAAACCAAATTGCGAAAAAAAAATTTATCATTCAAATTGAAAAATTTATTACATGAAATTAAAAATGGAAAAACAAAGTTAATCGGTGAAATTTAATGAAAACAAATCGCTATTACGAAAATAGCGAAATTACCGAAATCAACCAAGTTTTACGATTTGCAAATGGAAACAAATGGATAAAAAAAAAATGAATAAACTAAGAATGATATAAAATGAAATTTACCCGAACTTTTACTATTCAAAATTACAAATTATATTGGCTGTAAAATTGGTTATTCAAAATTACTGACAATTAAAGGCACAAAAACATGGAAAAATTTAGCTTTTATGATATCAGTTATGATAAAAAAGGAATATATATAAGGAATTCGAATATTCAATGATAAAAATCTCAAATTTCTTTGAGATTAATTTTCGCTTAATTTTGACAAAAACTTATGAAATTTGAAAATTTCGCAAAAATTGAAAATCCGTACAACGATAAACCTTTTTGGATAATAACAATTTCAAATGCAAAATTTTGTCGACAATCCCTTTTAAAACTGAAATGAAATATATCGAAAAAACTAGTCAATTTCGTCAAATAATTTCAAAAATTTAAAAAAGAATAAATAAGTATGAAATCCTAAAGACCTTCCAGGTTTTCTGATTTCTCTTCTATCTCGACAGTTTTTTTTCTTCTCAAAAAACGTACGCAATTTTAAAAATTGTGGATAGAATTATTTCTTGAAAATAAAATATGTTATTGATATGGTCCAAAATAAGAAATTTTCCAAGAATTATTTCAGTGGCAGTTGCTTGGATAGATCACATTGCAGGATGAGCAGTACCAGGAGGTTCGTAATAGAAACAAATATATATAGCATGAATAACTCCAGGTATCCATCCGATGATTGTTAAGACAATATTTATAAAGAAATGTACATCACATCCTCGAGCTATTAATATTGCTATTGGCTGCAAAAAAAACTTTGAAATATTTTAATCGACATAAATTCACATCCTAATTAGTTTTCGAATTAGCGTTAGCAATATCAAAATATTGAAAATGCTTTATTCGAATTTGCTATTAATTAAATAGTTCACAATAGTTCACAGCTGCATTTCTGATTATCAAGTATTTTTTAAATAATTATAATTGATTATTACTATAATTAACCAAAAAAAAATCCATTTGACAAAAATCATTTCCAAAAACTTTCAATAAAAATCGAAATTTAACTAAAGAAATAATATTAACAAAAATTAATAATTTTTCACGAATAATGATAATAATGATGATTATAGTAATTATAGTAACAATAATAATAATAATATTAATGAAAATAAACGGTAAAAAATAATGGCAATTTCATTAAAAATGGGAATGGCAAAAAATAACGAAGAAACTATTCCAAAAAACAGTAAAAAACTTACAGGGAAAATAATGATAAATATAAGTTCGCAAACAGTGACACACATGACTTGTAAAAATTCTGCAGAATCTGAAAGAGAAAGCGGCGAATTATTTTAAAAGAGAAATAATGAAATTTCATCAAAAACATAGCTTAAAAGAAGAAAAAAATTTCAAAAATACAAAATAAATAAAGAATAAGCAATAAACGATGAATGAACAACAAATGAAAAGAAAATATATTTCAAACAGATGGGATAATAATGGTGTACCTGTCATTAAAGTCATTAAGGATTTACTTCAAAAGACGTAAAAAATTCTTTGAGGCCAAACTTAAACACGATGTGCCACCGCCACCGATGGCTGATTCGTTCATCGAACCTTACGTTCGCAACTGCGAACCGTCAGCACAACAGGAATTAATCTCTGTCATTGGGATTTGAACCAGGACGCGGCTGTGTTAACCAGATACTCACTTTAAGAAGGGAACATCGCTTCAAATATTTGCAGCCCAATATTGTTTTATCGACTTTGCAACAACTGCCTTCGATTCAGTTAATAAAGCAGTCCTTTGAAGGGTGATGGAATATGACGGTATTCCAGAGAAGATCAATCTACTTATTTATCCATTTACTGGAAACCAGTCAAGCAAACGAGAACGTCATATATTAATAAGAACAGTTAAAATAACAAATAATAAGAATTAATGACAAAAAATAATAGTAATAAATAATAAAATAAACAATTTAAAGATGAAATAAAGAGGAAATTGCAAAATAATATAATATAGTACAATTCGAAATAACTATAATCGGATGGTAAAAATCGAGATTTTACAATTCCTACATGATGTGAATTTTTTAAATAATATCATAAAAGATATTATCTATTCTTTTTTTCAAGATAGCTAGGGATGGCGCACAAGCTATGTTCGGTAATTTATTCCAGTAATTAATATTACGAAAAAGGAAATCATGAGCCTTTAGTTTAATTTCACACATAGGTTTTAGTAATTTTAGTCCATTAGTTCTTGTTGGATTTAAATTTAACCTAAAATTACAATATGTTGAACAATCTAGTTTAGCATAACCATGCAAAATCTTATACATATAAATTAAATCTTGTTTAATACGACGAACTGACAGAGAATCCAGGTTATATTGTAGAAGTTTTCTTTTATAATTAAAATTAGGAGAGAGGCGCCGTATAAAATATTTTTGGAATCCTTCAATTATTTCAATTGATTTACGATATCTCGTGAGTAACATGTAGCATTATAGCCAAGAATTGGCCGAACGAACGCTTTGTACATTTTGATAAGGAAATCTTCAGTTTTGTTTGTTCTTAAACGAACGAAAAATAAAATTTAGTATCTTTGAGGACTTCTTTACCATGATTCTACAGTGAAGGTCGAAATCGAGATTTTCATCCATGATTATTCTAAGATGTGTGAGACTCTACTAATTATATTACCATTAATAAAAGGATTAAGAAAATCGAAACCTTTAGAATTGATATGAAGAACGCTACATTTTTGAAAGGAAAGGGTAATTTGCCTGTCATATAGCCAATTGGTTATTCTGTTGAAGTGCTTCTGCAGTAAAGATAAGGTATCAGTTTTATGAGAATAATAAATTTTACAATCATCGGCATAAAGATAAATAGGAGAATTTAGTACCACACTGGAGATGTCATTTATATATAATAGAAAAAGCAATGGCGCGAAACAACTAGCTTGGGGAACACCAGATTTAACAGGTATTGTGTCAGAAAGAATGTTATCGACGAGTATGGCTTGATGATGGTCTTTTATATAATCTGATAGCCAGTGATAAAGGGCTCCTGTAATGCCATAATTATTAACAGTGATCAATAATTTGCTATGGGAAAAAGTATGAAAAGTTTTAGCTAAATCTAAATATACAACTGATCCTGTTTTACCACTGACAATTGGTGCAGACCAATCGGAAAGATTTGCCAATATTTTTGAAGTGAAGTACAGAAGCCATGCTGATAAAGGGATATAAAATTATTGGCATCAAGATAAGTAACCAATTGTTGCAAATCAACCTTTCGAGTACCTTGCTATTAACGCATGTCAGGCTAATATGTTTATAATTAGAAAGGTACTTATAAAGGCATTTCACCAGCGAAGAATTGATATCTATCAAGACGGCATCCTTTTCACCACAATATTTAACTTCGCGATAGATAATAGAAACTGCTTGTCGGCACTCAACAGCTGTATAAATTAGTTAATAGTGTTATAAATCTTGAAAACATTGATAATGTAGTCCTGCTGACAGTTATGACGAAATGGAAATGTTTCGACAACTGCAACGAAGATCAGACTAAGGATCAATGGCTTTTCGTCCTATTTGCAAGAAATATTTGCCGCTTGAGAAAGTGCCAGATTTCAAATATCCCAGATCCACTCTAATCCCAAATGGCCAAGCGAAAGACGAAATTACAGCAAGGATAAATGTAGCTAGAAATGCTTTCTTTTGATTGACGAAATCTTAATAGAGTCGTCGCAAAATCATTGTAAAAACGAAAGCCCGCGTCTATGTAGTATGTAGTGGAAGTTCGCTCGATTTTGCTGTACGACTGCAAGACCTGGCCAATGATAGTGGAGGATACTGAGAAGTTATGTCTTTGACCACACATGTCTAGGATATATTACGGGTTCATCAAGTGGATAAAATCTCATATGATCACATCCACCTTCGTTCATATACCATCATAGAGCATCGTCTTCGCTGGTCTTCGCTGGCTGCAGCAAGTTCTTCATCACCCACCACAGGAGTTGACAAGTATTTCGTTACTTGCTAAACCTTACTGACAGATGGCGTTAAAAGTGAGGAGGACCAATCATGACTTGGACCGAAACAATCAGGAAAGATTCTGAATGTATAGATAAACCAGCAATATATGGACTTGAACGATGGAAAAATAAATAGCTATAGCTTTTATCACTGTCAACAAAAGCCTACAGCTTAGAGACGTTTTACCTTTGTAGCCAGCGTAGCCTGTTTAACCAGTAATGCAGAGAGATTAGAAGATTTTAAAGAGATTAAGTATAAAATAAAAATATTTAACTACTGTTATTTAATATATAATTAGCGATAAAATTTAGGATGAACTTTTCATTTAAAATATTTTAAATTAACGTTTCTGAAATCTTTTAATATCACGCAACCTTGCGTTCCACCTTATCAAAAATCTCCTCAAGCCACATCGTTATATGTCCTTAGCACTTTGCCAAACTGTTCCCCTCTTACTGTAGCTTTATGATATCTTTTCAAACCTCGTTGCAGTAGCTAGCCAGACCTTGCTACATTTCTCTCAGACTCCACTATCCTCCGAATATCATACAACCGTTCGAGATCCTTCACTCTTTTCCCATTAGTAACCATATATTAAATTCTAATTTACATCTCATTTTCCGTTCCGTTAACTCCCTTTCAATTAGTGTTAAATTCTCATCCTTTAAATTCCCATATTTCTGCAAGTTTCTTTTCACCATAACTTTTAAGTAACATTGGTTTACTACACTGCATTCTTTTAACACTCTATAAGAGCCTGTTATAGTGTTTTTATATTGCTCGGATTCAAACTATTCAAACTATCTTAAAATAGTTAAACTCAAAAAATCACCTTATATCTTGAACCAACACCCACTGAAACATTTTTCCGCAATACTGCACTTATTTATTTAGTGCGCTTTCTCAATTCTCACAAGTGCAAGAAGATGCTCTAGTAATATAATGCGCCACTTAAGGCAAGCAATTCGGTCTTTTTGATGACAAATTTATCACTGAGATTGAAATCAGAATGGGAATCCGCTCCACATCAGTGCCTTCAGTTAAATCAGAAACACTGAATGCTATATAGGATTCTAACATCAAAAAACAAGAAAATATCTAAGATAGTACCGCTGTTGCACCACAAAAAAACGACAACTATCCTAAAACTTATTAAAACAAAACTTATTAAAGCTTTATTAAACAAACAGGATGGCCATCCCAAAAACGAATAGCAATAATCCACATGTGCCGATTTGGTTTGCTCCAGACTAAAGAAAAACATTTCCACGCCATCCAATCCGATGCCATTCTTCAAAATAAATGAAGAGGCTTCATTTATTTCACTTATTTATTCCACTTCTCTTTCTATCGTCGAGGTCCATATGTCCCTGGGCTATCTATTGTTTCGAAATTTCCCTTGGCTGCATCAATCCATGTTTTGGTTGGTCATGCTCGTTTTTGAGGCCATCTAACAAAGGACGAAGAAGAACACAGCCAAAGCATCAACGCTTTGCGACAATAATTCTTAATACAGATGGCGGACGCAATCATGTGAGACTTTTTCTGCTTGGTAGCTGCAAAGGATGTGCCTTAATTAAGAATGGTCAAAGGAAGATAGCTTCTTAATCCTCCACTCTCAATGGCCAGATCTCTCAGTCATCTGGCATGCTAATTTCATGGCAATTTTGCAGAGATTTTTTCAGAAAAAAAAAGACAACTCTGCTATTCGAGCTGGAATTCTGTTTTGCTTGGCTATTACATATGCGAGTAGATCCAAGATAATTAAGGAACGAATCTTGAAATGTATTGATGATTTATATAGATTGCAATCTTATCTGCCTAATTTCTCTTGATCTTAAGAATTTTAGGTTTTGTTGTGCACACACGGCATTTCTCGAATAGCAGTAAGTAAAAAAGGAATAGGTTATATTAACATATTTAAATTCTATATTTGGATATATTCTAGATTGCCGTTCTGGACACTTTGAGTATCTGTCATTAGCCAGTTGAAAATTACAAAGAATTTCAATTTCAAATTTCCAAAGAATTTCTTCTTCTCACAACTCTCATCATTACTGGTTAGCCTGGCTACAAGGGTAAGAAGTCTCCAAGCTGCTCGATCCGACGCCATTGCTAGTAATAATAGAAGCCATTCCTTTTTCCATCGTCTAAGTCCATACATTGCTGCTCCGCCTATATATTCAAAAACTTTTCTGACCGTATCAGTCCAGGTTTTGATTGGCCTCGTTTTTGAAGCCATCCATCACACGGTTTAGCATGTAACGATATATGCGATAATTTCTATGGTGGACGACGGAGAACGTTTCACGACGGTTTCATAAAAGTTTCAACCTGAAAAACACATTTCTAGCTATCATTATCCGGGTTACAATTTCACCCTTTGCCTGGCCATTTGGGATTAGGGTGGATCCAAGATATTTAAAGTCGAGCACTCACTCTACAGGATTCAGGAGAGAAAACCGGCACCTATATATAAAAGATTGTGTCGGTTCGTCATATATTAATTTACACTAACCTACCGATCTGCAGATAAAATGCTTTAATTAATCTGGTCATGTTCTTTGGAGCAACACCGTGTTGCATGCTTCCAGCCCGGTTGTGGTATGTTATGTTTTTATCTTCCTCAGCAGAATGAAAGCAAAAATTTTCCCAGAAATATTTGTTAAGCTGATTCCTCGATAGTTGTCGCAATGAGCCCTATTATCCTTCTTGGAAATCGAGAGCAAAACAGCTTTAATCCAGTCGTATTGTGTTTTCTCCTCTTATACCAATTAATATTACTTTTGAAGGAAGAACTCTCGGCAAAGCAAGACCCTCCGTGAAACATACCATCGACAGATGGCTGAACTGGCTGACATTGAAAAATCGTGTGGTCGAAAAAAAGCTGGACTAAAAGTCAACAATGCATTGATTATATTAGCATAAGAACTGGTATCAAAACTAGATCAATCAAGATCTAATATATCAGAAGTGGCTTTCGCTCCTTTGATTCAAGATGTAGATTGTGCAAAAAAAACGTCAGATACAATATATAATGTCAGAATGCAAGATGCAGGCAGAATAGCACATACTGAAAGGCATAACGACTACAGGAATATCTATAATTTGGATGTGAACCGTGGGGAATAATAAGGCGAAGATCCTGCTTGATTTTTTCACCCAGGAAAGCAAACAAGAATTCGCCAATCAATCAGACTTTGCAGATTGTCATTCCTAATGCAGTGAAATTTAGATCTCTAAATGAGATCTGAAATGAGAACAATTTCTTTAACTAAATTTTAAATGGAAATGTCCAAAAAAGGCATCTGCTTAATGCATTGTAATTTTTTTCTTCTTACCATTACTGGTTAAGCTCGCTCCATAGGCTTGTCGCATTGGACAAATATGCTAGGGAGTCCTTTGACGATAAAAGTACAGGTGAATCGCCAGCATCACCCGGGTCTTTGTACAGGTTTACTCCTGCGGAGAACCGAACCTCGCACCGGCGCTCGCAACTGAGCAACAACCCACTGAGCCATTCTATCCCCACTGCTGCTTAATTACCAAAAAATAAATCGTATTTATTACAAAAACAGATTTTCTATCATCGTAAAAATAAAAAACATTGAATTTTTATTCGATAAACCAAATAAATTAGAAGAGCATCAAACAAAAAGAAAGAAGTGGCACTTTTCGGTTATTTGGTTAATAAAAATATTTTGCAATTTTAAATATTCAAAATGTTTTAAATGAAAGTTTTTGGAATAAACAAGGAATTTCGCATTAAAAAAACCGTTTTTTATGAGAATTTTCCAAATTTGACGAAAAAAACTTCCAAAACAAATCAACAATTTCTATAAAAAATGATGCGAGCACACAAAAGCCTAAAAAAAATGAATCGGAAGAGAAAACACGGCCGAGGTACTACACCTTTACGGTCCAAGAATACTCACGATTCCCGTATGATAATGGCTCGCGGTTCGCATGGGTGGCAACATCGTTAATTTTAATTTTTGTTCTAGAGTGGCGTTTGCTGTAGAGTTTCCATGACGCGGTCCGCGAGGACGCACCTCTCACTCACCAATTCATTCAACTTCTTCGGTGCGATAAATAATTTATGCCATTCAAAGATTCGTGAATTAACTAATAATTTAGGTTATTAATTAATTATTAACTAGTTCTTTTTTAATTTGGTATAATTATTATCAAAAGTTGAGTCGATAAATGAAATTACTTCATTAATGTGACATATATAAATTTATTTTATCAAATGCCGCAAATTTATAGGAAACGTTCTTCTAATATGGCTCGCACCATCACTGATTTGGTTCGCTCCAATGTCACTAGGGCAATACTCCCGATTCTAAACTTACTTTCATGCCATTCCTCAAAATAAATGAAGCCACTCAATGTCCAGTTAACTCCGTCCGTGGGTCACCTATGCTTTCAAAAATCCTCCATTGGTTGTATGGAAACTTCTTAGGTGCCAACAAGCGGTGTCATTATCAGTTGAAAATTGCAGGAAAGAGAAGTTTGAACACCGGTACATATATATAAAAGGTTGTGATTGTGACAGTTCGCCATATGCTAATTTAATCGGCTGCTTCTGATTGTCGTCTTCTCGAGTTATTGTTTTCATATTCAAGGACATCGTTTCAGCACCTGTTTTTATTCCGCCTGGCCGCTGTTAGCAGTGCAATCGTATGTCATCTGGGCTGTATCATTTGATCAGCTTGTCTTCTCCCAAGTCATGTACTCTAGCGCGGATTCAGGTGGTACCAGTATCCATAAGGTCCCTGAGGTATTGCTGTTGAAATTCTTTAGGTGAATTGACACCTTAGTTTGAAATTCAACAGTTACCATTGAATCTTTTAACTTGAGGTAGTTAAAGATTTTCGAAAATGCTATGTTTTGCGTGTTATCATTTTCGTTCGGATCACGGCTCCAACAATGAAATAATCTGACCCATGGAAAATTGGCAGTTTCGGCTTAGCTATATGTTAACATAGAACTTTTTCATCGATAATTGAATATAATATAATACAATTTCTCCAATTATTTCTTTCTCTGAAAAAGAGTAAACCTGTCATTGAATTGAAATCTCAGTAGTTGTTGTTCTCAACTATGCCCCTATCTGTAGGTGAAAGGGTCAAGTATGCAAGTATTATAATTTAATTTTAAAATAAAAGACTAGAGGGGATATTTCTCTAAAGATAATATGCATGGACAATTTTTTTGACAACCCTAAAAGATGCAAGGTGCGATAAAGACGAAGAACTACTAATTCACTTAAATTATTCCGGATTCGGGAAACCTTTCATTCAACAGTGCCATTTATTTATAAGCTAACATGGGAATAATACACAGAATAGCAGATTCTGTTGTTACAGGAGATAAAATAGATTAAAATAAGATGGTGAAAAATAAAATTTAAAAGAGAGTAAATATAGATGTTTTTTACTGAATATATTAATTAATAATAAATAGAGATTAAAGAACCAGCAATAAAAGAATAAGAGGAAAGGAAAGGAAGGAAAAAGAAAGAAAAAAGGACGGAATTACTGGATAACACAGAAAATATACAACATTGTAAAAGAATCCCACATTTGATAAATAGCATTTTCCTAAATTCCCACATATTTTAAGTTGTAATAAAAATCGAATTATTAAAATTAAGAGAATTAAGAGAAATTAAAAAAGAAATTAAGAAATCATTAATTCACAAAATATTTACATAAGCAATTTTTATATCTTACAGTAAATCAAGAACAAAGAAATTTTTTGCCAAAAAATATTGCTTTTTGTTCAAATTTTTGAGAATTTATCGGCGAATTTATGGTATAAAAAGGGTTCATTGAAAGTTTTATGTAAATTTCATATATCTCCTGTAATAAAATAAAAAGCATCAATATTTATTTAATAAGAACAAAAACCATTGAATATCACTCCGCTGAATTATTTGCACATATTTCTAAGTAAGCTGCATATAACCATCAGTCGTAAAAAACCTGAATGTGCAACTGCTATCCATCTGTACTTCTATCGTCAACCAATCTCTAATTTCTCACCATATTAATAGTCAGCCGGCCAACGCTAACCATATTCCATATTTACTTAATTATTATCTTAATGTGAATCAGTATTAATTTCTTGAATCAATTTTCTGCTGATGCCAAAATTTGCAAAAAATTAAAGTCATTTACTTCATCTAAAATTTAAAAAAGTAAGAAAAAAGTGAAATGACCTGGAAAAACTGCCTAATACCATCATCGTTCTTTTGATTGTGAAGTACAATAAATCGCATACGACTGGCTGTAACAAACGCTGATACGTACCATTCATTGAATTTATCGATCACCTAAACAATTCAAGCATATAAAAAAAAATTTGATGGTACGAAGTAATCCCGCCAACCTTACAGATTGTTCACAGAATCTTCACGAACCATAAGAAAAAAGAAACCAAAACAATAAAATGTCCACAGTTCCAGTTCCATCTTATTATGCTTCTTATCTTTATTATGCTTCCTTGCTTAGAATAGTCAAGTCCTCTAAATAATAATTTGTAAATTTATATGTATGCATATATTCCTTTTTTTCACCTTTTTTACCCTTTGTTACGGCAGCTTTCTATGCTAACAGTCACCATTATAAATATTTTAAACTCTTTAAAAAAAAGTGAATTAATCTTCTTAGCAATTCAGACTAATAAAATCAAACAATTAATAAAAAAAGGATAAATTTTTCAAACGTTCCGTTACTAAAAATAAAAAAAAAAGTGAAACTCAATCAATTTTAAAAAAATTAGGTCAAAAGAATTTTTGAATGGCCTAAGGCCATTTATGCCCAATTATATGATAAAAGCTTCGACGATGGAAAAAGATTTTGCTATTTTCATATCAGATATAGTGCTAGATCCAAAAATAAATCATGAACAATCGGCTTTACTAAGATATAAGATATAAGAAATAATTATTGATTATCACTGATTATAGATTATTGCGAATTTTCGCTTGTATATCTCAAACAATAAATTTTTTTCTTTTCTTTTTTTTGTTTTTCTTAAAGTCAATTTTTAATTTTTCCACTTTTCCACTCGATGGAATTAACCAGTCATACCAAAAATGCGAGTGGGTGCTAAGGACCAACCTGTAATTATATCCAAGTTATCTGTGGTTAAAAAGTCTGGCGTTCTTGACATTACGCATTTTTTGACGCGTATGATCTCTCTCCTCGGTGGTACATGCGATAAGTAAACAACCAGGGCGTAAAATGATCCCAAGGTAAATAAAATAAAATGTTTGTAAACCAGGGCAATCGCTCGAAACCTGACAAGAGGAAAGGTTATCAGTACGCAGGGGAAGGTGTTAGCCATAGTAGCTTGAGACATCAGAAACGGTTATGGAAGTTCCAAGCCAAGCTGTCCACACTATTTCTAAATATCGTGTGGGTGTCACCTGTTTGTCGAAGAGCCTTCGAGCCTTTTTATATTGCTAAATCTGCTTCCGAGTAGAAGGCTATATCACTGAGGTGTTTCGATTAACTCAAGGCAAAATGGCATAGCGATTGTCATATCTGAAAAAGCTCGATTCGCTCTGAATAAAGCTAGTAAACGATCGTATGGCCTATGCGCGGTTCAAAGGAAATTTCTGCAATATTTCATCAGTGTATATATTACAATTTTATGCACAGATGACCATGATAAGGATAAGTTTTATGCGGAATTTCAGTTATTAACAATATCAACAGGTAACATGAAGGAAATCGGAATGCGCTCGGGTCGTTATGCCACCACGATGAACTCGATAACTGGCAAATATGACATCGGAGTTCAATGAGAAAATGGTGATTTGCTAAAGACTTTTTGTTACTTATGATGTCGAAAAATATATAACTTCCAGCTAATTTAATAATAAGAATAATAAAAATAAATAAAAATAATAAGCAATAATAGCAAATAATAATAATGATAAAAAAGGTTAAAAAATAATAACAATATGTTCTTCTTCTAATAGCTCTCATCATTACTGGTAGGTAGGCTACAGGGGTAAGACTTCCAAGCTGCGCGAACTGATGCAATCGTAGTATTTAAAGCGATGTTCCAGCACCTTTTTTAGGGTGAATATCTGGCTGGCACACAGTGTTCTGGTGTGAATCCAGCTTGTTATTAGGGCTAGTATCCTGATATCTCCTACTACCATAAGTTTATTCAGCAGAAAGGAAATAATTCCCGTATAGTAGGCTGATATCTCGATAATTGTAATAGAATGTCGTGTAACCCTTCTTAGGAATTGGAAAATTGCTTTGCTTTGTACCAGTTTTCTGGTATCATTTTTTTCATACCAGAGAGTACCTTTGTTGAAGATGTAATATGAAGGACGACGGACAGCATTTAAAGAATATAGTCCTGAAACCATTTTCTCCAAGAGTTTTAGTGGCTTTATGCTTCTGGATGACTTCCTCTTCTATTAGCGGTTCGCAGTTGCAAACGTATGGTTCGACAAGCGAATCAGCTATTTCCGGGGCACATCGTTGGCCTCAAAGAATTCCTTCCATCTTATAAGGTGATCCTTGATAGCCTTAACAGAGGTCCCATTAATATTCCGTATTATTTCACTGATCTCTTCACGATTTATAATTTTGTGAAGAAGGCAAAATAGTATTTCTATTACCACCTAACCGAATCGCCGTTACCATTCTCAAGGCTATATAAGGCTATATTTCAATATACAAGTATCCACGTGTTCACTGACGCGTCCATCAAAGCATATGCAGCGGCAATTTATGTGAAACAGAGTCCGACAACGTCCTTGATTTTTGCCAAGTCAAGAGTAGCCCCAATCAAAACGATGACGATACCGAAACTCGAACTATTAGCAATCTTAATTGGAGTAAGAGCAGCTCAATTTATTATCAAACAATTGGAATTTGAAAATGCACAGGTGATTTTATGGTCAGATTCACGGTGTGCATTGCACTGGATACAAAACCATTCTCGACTCTTACCAAGATTCATCCAAAATCGAGTCGAAGAGATACGAAAGGCCAAATTTGCGTACCGATATATTCCAAGTGAGTGTAATCCAGCAGACATAGCTACGAAAGGAATATCGCCAAGCGATCTGGCAAATTTCACACTTTGGTGGAATAGGCCCGAATGGCTAAAGGAGGAAGAATCAAACTGGCCCCATTGGGAATATAATATCAAACAAGAAAGCGATAACGAAGAAACCATAGACGAAGAAGGAGAATAGGTAGTAGTTACAGCGATTCAAGAAACTATTACCAAAACATCAATCAGATTTGTCGATGCGAATCGGTTCAGCAATTGGTCACGAATGGTCCGAACTACCGTAAGAGCTTTGAAATTTCTTAAACTAATATCCAAAGATAAATTTCCCCGGTTATTAAGCAATATGTCACAGGGAACTCAAATCAACCCATATGAATATGAATTTGCTGTTGAATTCTTACTCAGACAAGCTCAATCAGAAGGACTATCAGTAGAGGAAATAAAGAAGCGCAACTTGTATTATGTAACGGGATTATGGAGGTTTAAAAGCCGATTGCAATTTCCAAGTAGTGGTAGTTGTATCTCATATTTAACATATCTCCCGAGACATAATCGAATAACAGAAATTATTATTCAAACATACCATGAAAAAATCCATCATGGCGGCATTCCTCATACAATTTCTGAATTAAGAAGGTTATATTGGATACCTAAAGGAAGAGCCGAAGTCAAGAGAGTGCTGAATAAATGTTACGGATGGAAAGCCAAATCGTTTAAACTGCCACCCATGCCTGACTACCATGATTCCCGAACAGTACGATCCAGAATATTTGCTCGAATCGGATTGGATTATTTAGGCCCTGTCACTGCTAAAACGAAAGTTGGAATGGCGAAAAGGTGGGTAGCATTATTTACATGTTTCACAACTCGTGCAGTGCATTTAGAATTAGCAGATGATTTATCTGCAGAAAGTTTTCTTACTGCGTTAAGAAGATTCGTAGCACGACGAGGCTGTCCTGAACTAATTTTATCAGACAATGCTAGCCAATTCCACCTAGTCTATCGAACGATCAAGAAACAAGAATCACAATTAAGTAATTTCCTTACAAGCAAAGGAATAATATGGAAGTATATAACGCCGAAGGCACCGTGGAGTGTAGGAATTTATGAAAGAATAGTCGGTATAATAAGCAAATTTGAAATTGAAAGAATCAATGCGGAAATAGAAATATTGGCTGACAAACAAAAACCCAATTCAGTATCTCATCAACAAAACATGGAAACTATCTGGCAAGAAATTAGTCAAGAAGAAGAGCTAGCAGAACAGCTGGATGATGAGATTGGCAAAGCTACGTTACTGATACAAAACGAACTTTCGGAATTTGCCATACATTGGTGCATGATTATTGATGGAACTAGTGTTCTCATTCTGTTAATAGTGCTAATTATTGTTAAATTAAATTGTCAATTGATTTGATTGATTTGATCAATTTATTTTCAATTGATTTTATTTCCTTTATGTCCAAAATGTAGTAGAAATTCAAATCAAAAAACCGTTGCTATCCCTATGAATTTATTAGGGGAAGACCTATACAACAAAAAGGAATTTAAAACTACCATTAAGAATGTTTTAAGTTATCAAATTCCTTCCTCTTGCTAGTTTTCTCCCCTCTCGGGAATGTCGAGAATTTTCTCGAAACTATGAATCATTGTTTATAAAAATAAAAAGGTCACAACAATGTCGAGAATGTCGAGAATTTTCTCGAAACTATGAATCATTGTTTATAAAAATCAAAGGTCACTTCTTTCTTTTTCTTTTTCTGCTTCTTCCTTTTAAAACGCTGTGTGGGAGTGGGTTTCCTTTTTTTTGCAATATAAATAGTTTTTTTTAAACTCACGTTTTACCTAAACCGTTGTCCCTATATTCAATAAAATTAAAAGATTATTATATTGTTGTGGTGTGACAGCCTTACAAACCCCGAAAAAGTCACAACAATCAATTCGTGAAACCATCTACGATTACGTCATTCCTTTCAAAAATTTTCTCTTTCTGGATTAAAAAGGAAAATAAAGTGAGATGAGCCAAAGATCGGCATAATATACAAGCGAAGAAGAAAAAGTGGATTTATTCGTCAACAGATAAACGAATTAGGGGTGAAAGTGGTCAAATCAAGTAATACAAACAGCGAAATTGGAAAAAAAAGTTTTTGCAAAGTTAATTCAAAACTTTTCAACAGATTTACGATATTCAAGCAACGATTATAGAAACAAAGTCGGGGCAGAAAAATGTAGTAACAAAAACAGAATCCACCCTAGCCTAGAGACGATGGACAGGAATCAGAAGACGATAAAGATATAGCTGTTGTTTGTATAAGTGGATTTAATGAATATCCCAGTAAATGAGAGGAATTCACATGTGTATTAGTGGCTCAGTGGCAAGATAACTGTCATCGAGAATCGAGGCCTAGGTTTGAATCCACTGACGCATCACTTTTTATCAGCTAGCAGTGCCACCCAACAGAGAAAAACGAAGAGAATGACTGAGTGGTTGTTGTTCAATTCGCAGCGCCGATGCTGAGGTTCTACTCTCTGCAGAAGTAAACCTGTTCGAAAATCCAGGTAATGCTGGCGACTCATCTTCCAGCTCCAAGGGACTTCGTGGAAAATTCGTTTAGTCTTGTAACCAGTAATGGTAAGTGATCCTAAAAAAAATTCATCTCATCATTTAAAACTTCTTATTCTAACAGCTCTCACCCTTACTGGTTAGGCTGGCTGCTCTGGCTAGAGGAATAAGATGTCTCCAAGCTGCTCGGTCCGACGCCATCGCTAGTAGTAATAGAAGCCATTCCTTTTTCTATATATCGCTGGTCACCCTATACGTTCAAAATCTTTCCTGACTGTACTAGTCCAGATCTTGATTAGCTCTCCTCACTTTTGACACCAACCATTACAACCATCCCAGGGTATAGCAAATAACGAAATATGCGTCAACTCCTGTGGTGGAGGAAAACGTGCCCTAATCAGTGAAGGCAATATTCTGCGATAACATTATTAATACAGGTGGTATTTGAGCGAAGGTGGATACAAGCACAAGTGATATTTTATCCGCTCGAAAGACCCGTAAGATATACTTAGACAAAAGTGGTCAAAGGTAGATAGCTTCCTAATACATGAATTTCAATTACACCAAACCAAATTCCGAAACCCTCAGCAACACAAATGCGAAACGAAAGGATCGATTTGTCTGATCATGATCGAAACAGTAGAAAGCGACAAAACTGCCCTGACGAGAGTGGGATTCGAACCCACGCCTCCGAAGAGACTGGTGCCTAAAACTCTCATTGGACATGTTTCGCAGCCATATAGCAAGATCGAACGAATTGCAGCTTATATGGACGCGGATTTTCGTCTTTATGGTGATTTCGCGATGGTTCCATAAAGGTTTCATCAACCGGAAAAACATAATTCTAGCTTTCATCCTCTGCCTGGCCATTTGGGATCAGAGTGGATCCAAGTTCAGCACTTTCTCAATCATTTAAAACAATGGTGGACCAACTCTAAATTTGTTTTTATTTTAAAGTAGTGAAATCTAGGTCTCCATTCGAATCTTTTTGTAAAACGCAGAAAAATAATTATTGTTAATTATTACAACTCATCGTTTGGACACCTCAAACGATGTTTTTTTTCAAATTAAGTTTATTTTCTTCTCAAATTTTATTTTTCAATTTTTTTATCTATTTTTTATTTTATTTACCTTGTCTTCGACAGGAGTAAACCAGTCATATCAAAGGTATCCGGGTGGCTGTTGGGGACCCATGCGTAATTCTGCCTACAAATGGCTTTATGATGAAATGATCTGATACTCTTGATACGTCTGCGTCCTCCGAAGCATGATATTCCCAGCTCTGTGGTATATGCGATAAATATATAATCCGAACGATCATAAGGCTTGTAAATGTACTCGCAAATCACTGCAATTGCTCAAAACCTGTGAATGGTAAGGGGTCTCTGCACGAATAGCGGAGTGCGTGCCGTAGTAGCGTGGAACATCAGAATGCTTATCGACGTTACAAGCCAAGTGATCGCTGTCTGCACTCTTCTAAATATCGTATGGATGTTACCTGTCGAGAGTCCATCTTCCTCGCTTCGAGTCTCGAGCAATTTCTAAATCTGGCTATGAGCAGATGTACTATATTTTTGTGGCGTTTCGTACAAACTCTGCACGAAATGGTATAGCGATTATTATGTCTGAAAAGGCCCATTTGGCTTTGATTGAGTGGAAACAGTTAAGCGACCATATAGTCAATACTTGCTTTAAAAGTAAGTTCTACAATATCTCAGTCATCTGTTCATGTACTCCAACTTTGTCGGTAGATGACCGGCAGATCTAACAAAGATATTCAACTGCTAACAAAGTTTCTGCCGAGAAATGACATGGTCATAATCGGAGGAGGCTGGAATGTGCGCGTAGGTCATGATGTCTTCACGAACTTGGTAATTGGAAAATATTGTAGTATTACAGTCAGGCGTGCCTCTTCTTCGTTTTGTTGAAGTGCATGATGAGCATCTTTTTGTTATTAATACCTGCTTGCAGCATCGTAGAATACACGCCACGTTGAACTCACCAGTTAACCACTCCAACCAGATTGATTATACCTTAATCAGTCGCTGTTGGAAGAGCTCGGTATTAAAAAGTCATTCCTACTTCAGCGCTGAAATAGATAACCTTCATGGATTGTGATTTAAGCTATGATCCGCAGAAAATTGTTGGTTCGCATGAAACAATTCCCCGAGATCTTTCAACTATCTTTCAAAGTAAAATATTTGGGGATAGTGAGTGCATTTCAAACCGAATTGTTGAAGGAAATCAGTGATATAGATGTCAGCGGCATCTGTGGCAGATGAATACTGGTCCCAACTAAAAGCACGTCTCCACATCAGGGCATACTTGCGCTAGTTGGGAAGTAACGGTCCAACTGTCTCAAAAGGCTGCCAAAGCACGAATGTCAAGCGATCTTGACTATCGGGTGCTTCGAAGAATTACAACGACAGTAGCGCGGAAGGACGGAAATCACTATATATCCTTGAGAATGAAGACGGTGCCTTGGTTAGGTGACAATAGGAAACTATTTCACCTTCTTCACAAAGCAATCTATTAAGGCTATTAAGGATAGTCTCATAAGTTTCTTTGCAAATAAACTTACTACGATTCGCTAGTTATTGTCTCAGACATAGCTAACTGAAATAAAACTGTCAATTACCAACAGAAAAAGAAATATAATCTCTATCATACAGAAGCTTAAGGCCAATAAAACTGAAGATAAGAAAATGGTCTTCTAGGACCGAAATCTTCAAATGTTGTTTATTATCTTTCATAAAACTGCCGTGAAAAGTTTTTTTAATTCAGAAAGAAGAAAAAAAAACTAAAATTTTTGAAAGTGACTTGCGTACTCGTCAACGGTTTCACAAATTAGACTTGGAATATACAGCTAATTTTAGATTTTATTACTGCTCCGATACCAATATAATGGAACAATGTGGGAAATATTATCAATTATTATAATAAAATGACGTGCAAAATGATATCAATATAACGAATTGAAAGGTAGGATTAAGGAAAAATACGAAGGACGTATTGTAGAAACTGACTAACTGACCGAGCCAGTAACAAACTGACCAAATAACAAACTGATCAAATAAATAAACTCTGATCATTGGTCGCATTCCTTCTTGTTTTTGAAGGAATGTGTAAAGAGATATTAATTTAGAGCTAGACATACAATTTCTTTACAAATTGACAATATTCTCACAGCTACAAAGAAAATTTACATATACCGGATGAACAAATACCGGATGTACAAATGATTTATGATTATAAGCATGGGAAAACACTTAATATTTCGATTTTTCCGACAACTTTACCACTTTTTTAATTATTCTGTTATTTAGCAATTCATCAGTTTAATTGCACCCATGTTTGAGGTGTCGAAAATCCCATATTTCAACTTATATATAAAACAAAACCATTGGTATTTTATCAGCATACTATATGGGGAACTGAATGACAAAAAAAATGACCCTTTCGAAATAAAAACTGGTGTCCGCCAGGGCTGCGTCTTTTCCCTACAGTATTCAACTATGCGATAGACTGGATAATGGGCATCTTGTCGGTACTCAAAAGATGTACGAATCAATCCGATTTATAGCATCACAGACTCGAATGCGCTGATAATGTAGTCCTTTTTGCTGAAATGCAAAATGCTAAATAATGTGTCAACAATTGCAGCGAGAATCAAACTTAAAATCAATGTAAATGAAAGTGTTTTCGTCTTATATACAAGATGCTGCTGATGAAATACCTATTCTTATCAAATCATTGCTGGTTGAGGAAATGCTGGACTTTAAACACCTTGGATCCACTCTAATCCTACATGACCAGGCAAAGGATGTAATTGTAGCCCGGATAACGATAGTCAGAAATGTGTTTTTTCGATTGACGAAACCTTTAATGGAACCGTCGCGAAATCACCATAAAGACGATAATCCGAGTCCATATAGCAATTCGCTCGATTTTGCTATATGGCTGCGAAACCAATGCGAGTGGAAGATATTAAGAAGCCATCAGCCTTTGACCACTCATATCTAAGATATATTTTGCGTATCAATCGAGGGGATAAAATCGCACATGTATCTTACCACATGTGTTAATAATATTATCAAAGAGCGTCGCCTTCGCTGGTTAGGGCACGTTCTCCGTCACCCACCACAAGAGTTGACGCATATTTCGTTACTTGCTAAACCTTGTGATGATTGGCGTCAAAAGCGAGGTGAGCCAATCAAGATCTGGACTGATACGGTCAGAAAAGATTTTGAACGTATAGATGGAGTAACAATATATGGATTTACATGATGGAAAAAGGAATGGCTTCTATTACCATTAGCGATGGCGCCGGACCGAGCAGCTCAGAGAGGTTTTAGCCTTGTAGCCAGCCTAACGAGCAATGGTGAGCTGCTAGAAGGAGAACAAACCATCAGCATGGCAGGCAATCTATATTAATTTGCAAATCACGTATAATTTTAGACTGGCGATCAGATTGCCAGAAATTTAAAAACCAATTGTTCGAAACTGAGCGCAGTCCTCATATATTTCAAAAATTAACGAGAAACTTATGTTAATTCGAATCGCAAAAAGAAGTGATGAAAGGCTTTAGTAGCTATCATAACAAATGAGTTGTTTTCGACATAAATATTACGAACGACTAAATGAGAATCAAAACTTCCACTGCAAACAACTGATTCAGGTAGTACAACAGTGTTAATCGGAAACATATACAATTTGAAACGCCTGACCATACCTCTAATTTCGAACATACCAGAAATAGTAAATGGCATTAGTTTCTATAAATCGAACAAACCAGAAATAGTAAATGGCATTAGTTTCTATAAATCGAACAAACCAGAAATAGTAAATGGCATTAGTTTCTATAAATAATGCGAGTTATAAAACCCAAAACTATGGAATTCCGGACTGCATATACCAAGAAAAACACGGACACTTGCATATGAGTGTAAAATCCTTGAAAATCCTTGCCTAGATCGAATGAAGATTGAAATACCATCAGGCACTATTCTGCAAAGGTTCTTGGAGAATGTAGGAACATTAGAAAACAGATTTTACCACGTGGGGTTACTGTAGAAGAAAAATAAACCAAAATTACCAAATTCCGGAAAAGTACTTGAGGGTTGAAATCAACAGTGAAGAGAACCATTCGAAAGGGGCACTCGCAGAATTTGTCGCAATGATAATTTGAATATACTTAAGCTATGTGTCGTAGGCATCTTCAAGCTCCTTAACACATAATTGGACTCTATCAGATTTCTGCGAGCACTTGTTTTCTTGTTGTGTAAAGGATTGCCTATTGCTCTAATGAAGAATTTGGGTCCGGAGATTCGAATTCGAGGGAGTTTATCTCGTTAAGAACGGCTAACCTGGTTTTTGGCGGTTAAATACTGGCGACAATGCTACTTGACATTGTTGCCTCACTTCGGGCGCCAAAGATTTGTCGTGGATTTGTAATATAGTAAAGTGATATCGTAGATGAATACCACCAGCGATTTGACTCTTTTGTTGAGTCGAGTCGAATTGGGTGATGTTAGGTTGGGACAAGTTGTAAAAGTTGATAAGTTGTGAACTAAACGAGATACACCAATTTTTACTCAGTAAAAAGGCAACACTGATTTAACACAACAGGGTTCATTTCTCATTGAGAGTGGAAGTGGTTTACATTAAAAATTCCAAGCATTATAACTAAGATCCAATTAGAAGATTAGTGTGTGAATTGGAAAGGCATTCCCGCATAACAGGAATATAAAGATATGAGCTCTAGATAGAAACAAAAAAAACATGGGAATTTGACGGGAAACAATCTGAGGAATGCAAAACGACTTATAAGAGGAATACATTTATTTGATTACTCATTTGTTTGGAATTTGGTGGAAGTTTCGCGACATCAGAATTCGCGACACTCCCAAAGGGAGGAGAGAGGAAAATTTAGTGTGGAAGTTTGATTGGAGGGTCTTCAGGTCTATAGGAAAAGGTATTAAGTCTAACTGGAACTTGGGTACGTTTAGATTCCGTAGGAAGAACGATTATATCTATGGGATTTGATTTTCGTTCTCGTGAAAAACAAAATAAGGATCGTAGGAATACGAGTCTAAATTAAAACTAATTATTACTAGAGAGATTGTAACAATACTTATGCAAGTAGTTATTAATCTCCAATCTGTTGCTACGCTTTCAAGTTCTTCTTGGATTGATTGAATAACTTGGTCGAATTCCCTTCCTATTTGGTTTGTTAGTTCTTCTAATTGTTCGGAAATCTCTTGCCAAAGAGAATCATCCTTTGGTCGATAAGGTATTGTATTAACTCCATCTTGATTGTGTGCCAGGAGTTCCAATTCTGCATTGATTCTTTCAAGATCAAACTTCTATTAGACTTCTCTCTACTACCTCCTTTAAATTCGATATTTTGGATTGTAATTTTCCTGAAGTTGCATGGTGCTATAAATAATTTTCCATTTACTCTTTTAGCTATTATATCATTTCTTTGTAGTATCATTCTGGTGGTGAAAGTAGGATAGTTAGCAGATAATCCTTCCATTAACAGTAGTAGATTATTCCTGTTCTGGCAGCTGTGTTTTTACTTTGAGTTGATGAAAAAATTCTTGTCTTAGTGAATCAAAAAGATATTGAAAACTTACATTATTTGGATCGAATGTCTCTTCTGGAGAAGTCTCCACCATAAGTAACTGTTATGTTGTTTCTCGTTTTGATTTTTTCGTAAGATTTTCATCGTCTTCAGGGATGTTTCTTTCATTAAATAGGGGTTAGTAAGTCTGCAATTTGTCGTTATGGTTGTGTTGTCCTTTTTATCGAGTACGAATGAGGCTTGTAATTCATTGATGATGAAGTGATCTCCGTACCTCATAGTTTCGAATTTTCCAACTCTTCGATATGGGCAATGATTTACTACGTCAGTACTGTTCCATAAAACAATACTAGTGTTAGTAATACACTTACCCAATTTCACCATGTCGGTATTATCCAAATTAGAAATTAATCCCTCTCCGTCATTTAAGAATATATTTTTCCTTCAACTAATACGAAATTCGTTGTTGATTGATATTTAACTCCCCACTATCCGTATGAATATTGCACTTCGTTGTTTGTTATCCATTTATTAGAGGAAGATTGAAACAATGTGATTCCATCAATGTTTTTGAAGATGCACTAACCTGCAAAGTTGGAACGAGATTGGTGAAGCAGTTACATGTAACTGCAGATACATGGTCTGTGATAGTCTGAGAAGAGCCTTAAGAGCCTGTACATACTGTTCTTGTGATATTATTGGATAGCTGGTATTCTTACGTGGGAGCTGTGTGCACCTTTGTAACGTTTTGATTGATGATTTCCTCACAATTCCATTTCTGTGGGAAAGGTATTCCGGAAGTCCATTTGCAATTGCTCGCGACTACAATCTGTACCATTATTAGTGATAACATTGTTGTCAATGATAACGTTTTCAAAAAATTATTGGATGTTGTCTTACTGGTAATTCCCGTATTTGACGCAGTTCTTTTGGAGCTTCCAGTTCGACTAGCTATTGGTCCTTCAGAATCGTCATCTAAAAAGTTCTTTATGTTGCTGTATTAATACTGTTGATTTCCAGTGGGTAAAGCATATTTATAGAACGATCGAGTTGTTTCCCATTTGGCAGTTGTATGGTGGTACTTCGTGTCCAACCATCCAGACCTTTGTTAAATTTGATTATTCTTGCAAGATTCCATATACCACGAGGGACATTAGGTTCCAACAATTAAAATTATTTCATTTACTTGTGGCAATCTATGCTCTAAAGGAATATACCTGTTTTTGTAGACGTTCTCTTAAACTTGCGAGATAATCTTCTCTCCATAACTTCCAAAAAACATCTAGTGTTTTAAGAGTGCTTGTCCAATGTTTGACCAGTTTCTCCTTCATTTTCAATACGTAAGAAGTATATTGCTGTCCATCGTTTCCATACTTGACTGGTATATTTATTGGTGAAATGAAATCCGATATCAATGGGATGTAATACCCTATAGTCATCAAACCCTACATAAGTTAATGGACACGTATTGAATTTCTTTCTATTTCCGCAGTTAGTGTTGTCATTTCCCTTTCTGTAAGGAATCTTTTACCTATCGCTCTTCTAAGGCCACCTTTGTCAGTCCAATGAGCCTTTCATGAACGCCACCACCTCATGGCGCTCGTGACATCGTATTCTTCCAAATCTACCTTTTTCGGCTATGAAATTGGTGTTTTCGTCCATTATTTTTTTGAAGACTAGTTGAAATTGGCTGGCATTGTCACTGAGTATTAACCTTGGATATCCTCTACGAGCAACGAATCTTCTCATAATATGCGAGAAATTTTCAGCGAATAAATCTTCAACCAGTTCGAGATGAACTGCCCTAGTTGTAAAACATGTGAAGAGGGCGATCCATATTTTGATTACCCCTGTAGGCGATTTAATCGAGAGCGAGCCCAAATAGTCTAAACCTATATACTCGAATGATCTTGATCGCCGTACTCGTGATTCTGGCAGGTTTGGCATTGGTGGTAATTTGAAGGGTTTTGCCCTCTATCGCTTGCAAGCCATGAGGGTATCGTACGTTTTATTGCGACCCTTCCTCTCGGAATCCAAAACCTACGCCTTATTGCAGATATGGTGTGCACAGTACCAGCATACAACTTATCATGTTGATGCAAAATGATGAGTTTAGTTAAATCGCTCTTTATTTGGTAAATAAATGGGATATTTGCCTTCGTTGTCCAGTTCTCAATGTTTTAGTCGACTGTTGGATCTCCACAACTTATCATTTCTATGTTGAAAAAGATTCCAATTCTCTATTTCTTCATTCTTTGATTGTGCTCGTCTGATTAATAACCACTCTGCTAGAATATATTCGTCCTTTGACATATTGCCTCCTAGTAAGGACAGCGATTTTAGCCAGGGTATAGTCTTTTTACAAGTCCTTTTAATGAACCGAGGAATACAGACAGTTACTCGGATCATTTTAATCCATTTACTAAAGCGGTGTGCTTCAATAAATTGGATTTTATTATCTTCGTAATTATGTATTATAGTCTTCGCTAAATTTGTCATTACCACTTGTGTGATTTCGTCCTCTGCATTATAACTGAACTCACCGTTAGGCCATTGTAATGGATCCTTATCTAACCAGTACGGACCATTCCACCATAATTTACTATAACGAAGCTTGGTTGATGAAAAATTTTGATAACTTGGTAAGTATCTTAATTTAAAGTGGGAATTTCGGATTTCTTCAGCTCATTTTTGCACAAATCGCGAAAGTAGCCTTGATTCATTTCTAACCCAAAAAAGGACACATTTTGCGTCTGATCACACAGTAGGATATTTTTCGTGGCACCATAATTGGTTTAACACGAATTGCTCTAACTCCTATTAATATCGATAGCAATTAGAGTTTTGTGATTGATATATCTTTGATTGGTGCAATTCGAGATTTACCATATAACAAATGGGATTTAGTAATCTACTTTCTTCGTCAATATATCGAATATAGACGGCAGCTGAATAGGCAACTTTAGACGCATCCGTAAACATATGGAATTCCATTGACTCAGTGTTCTTTGTTATAAATCTCGGTATTTCTTTTATCTATTTGGGCCATTCTGATAGTAGTTGCTGTATTATCTAAATAATATTTGAGGATTGCTGCTAATAGGGACGGTGAAGATATCACCCCAAACGGTACTCGTGTAAATCGGTAGGATTTGACGTTCTCCTCTAACACTTCCTCACCCATAGAAATCTTGTACAATTTCTTTCTTCAGGATGTAACCCTATTTGTAGGAAAGCCTTTTCTATGTCAGCAATTATGACTAATTTCATCGTTCGAAACCGGAATAACATACCTACTAGATCGGGTAACATTACCGGGTCTCTTTGGAGAACTCCGTTGAGACTTTTATATCCCTTTTGATGAGCCGAGGCATCAGATACTATTCTTAATTTTGTAGTATTTTTATTAGGGTTCACACTTCATGATGCGGAAGATAATGTATGACACCTACTTCGTCGTTATATGGAACTTCTTCAATTATATTTGCAACTTGCCTGTTCGCATTTGTTCCATGATTGTGTTATGATATACCTGGAGAAGCGATTTGAGTTGTAATTTCTTGATTAAATTCTTTAAACGTCCCAGGCATAAACCATAGTTGTTGCTTAAATTGTTTAAAATCCCTTTATGGCCAACAGACATGATAACGACCATCCTTTTTCGTGAGTATTCTTTGAAAGCATTTTAAAATTTCTTCATCATCATTATCATTTGGAGACTCTTGAATTCCTATTGATTCTAATCTCCAAAAACTTTCTAGTTCTGAATTAATATTAGCCTTAGCGGTACATACCAAATTATCATGGGGCCAACCTTTCTACCAACATATGACCTGAACTCAATTCCTGTACATTCTGCAATTTAATGAACTTAAAGAAGTAATCGGCTCCAATCAATATGTCGGGTTTCTCCCAATGATTTCTTAATTTTTGAGATTGAATTTCTTTTGGTATATCCACGACCTGCAATTCATTGGTTAGATGTTCGACTACATTAACACACACCTGAATATCGTTTTCCATTGTTTGCACACTCAATTGCGTAGAAGCCGTGGGGCAAAGTGTTGGATTGCTCATTCCAAATGGAGTTATTTTCATAATGTTTGTCTGATTCTGAAAACTTCAATTGATGCGACAACTTCTGAGAATTGAAGGAGAGTTGTGAACCTATGTAAAATAGTGCTAAGGCCTTCTTTTGTCGTTTTGGCTGAGTTGGATTGAAAACTTTTACTTCCTTGCATAAGAGTAAAGTTTCCTTAGTTGTATTTGTTCGAGTAGTGTAAATTGAATCATAGAGGGAAGCTGAATCCTTTTTATGTGGATTTTGAAGATTTTCGTGATCATCCTTGCAGACTGTTTGCTGAAGTTGTATTTCTGTTGTCGCATAACGCACTGTTGTGAAGGGCTTTGCAATAAAATCATTTTTTTTTAATTTTGCATCTTTCGCTGTTATGACTGTCTTTAAAACAGATCGGGCATTTTTTTAGCAATTTGAGGCGATTTCTTCTACTATTAGCAGTTGGATATATTCGCTATCCCAGTGATCTTGAGCGCAAAATATACATAGCCTTCTTTTAGTTATAGTGAGTTGTGACGAGTGTTGATTGCTTCGAAGTGCGGCTGATGAGAGTTTTGGATTGCTACGTACCATTGACAATGCTGATGTTCTTCCAAGGCTATATCTCGGTTTTCGTCTTAACTTGTTGACTGTGAGTTTAATATCCGTATTGTGGAAAGATTCTGACAATTCTTGACCTGTTCGGTTACATGAACTATGTTAAACAGAGTCTCTAAGTCTTGAAATTGACCAAGGCGCCCCTACTTTCTTTTGCGTATATACTCTATTCAAAACCCATAGTGGCAACTTACTTTCTACTCTAGTTTCCTGAATACTCCAAGTTCTCTCCGATGGCTTCCAATTGGCATAGCATTCGTTCTATATTTTTGATCGCGCTATCCAATCCTTTTCATTTCTTTTGATGGCTTGGAGTTCGTTGTATAATATCATCGTTATTGTCGAAGGACCTGCATATTTGTTCCTAAGCGGCCGTCTAACTACTTCGTAATTTTCAGGTGCTATTTCATAGCCTGATACAACTTGTAAAGCATTACCTCTCAGATATGAAAACAAATAATTCAATCTTTGTATTTCGGGAATTGTGAATGGACTGCTGTGTTGAAGCTGCTCCAGAATTGCTGCCATTATCTGGGGTCATCACTGAATATAGGTAGAAATAACTGAGGAAAACTGATAGTAAGGTTTGAAGGAGGAATTAATCTTTCCTGTTCCTTACTCTTACTCATAAATTACTGTTCCAGTTTTTACTTGGCGTCATCCTTATACCTCATTAACGTTATCAGCGCTTCATTCCCCTTATGGAATGTTCATCCTCTGTGACACATTCATAAGCCTTTTCTTCTTTTTCTCTTTTTTTGTCGCAATGATAATTTGAATATACTTAAGCTATGTGTCGTAGGCATCTTCAAGCTCCTTAACACATAATTGGACTCTATCAGATTTCTGCGAGCACTTGTTTTCTTGTTGTGTAAAGGATTGCCTATTGCTCTAATGAAGAATTTGGGTCCGGAGATTCGAATTCGAGGGAGTCTATCTCGTTAAGAACGGCTAACCTGGTTTTTGGCGGTTAAATACTGGCGACAATGCTACTTGACATTGTTGCCTCACTTCGGGCGCCAAAGATTTGTCGTGGATTTGTAATATAGTAAAGTGATATCGTAGATGAATACCACCAGCGATTTGACTCTTTTGTTGAGTCGAGTCGAATTGGGTGTTAGGTTGGACAAGTTGTAAAATTTGATAAGTTGTGAACCAAACGAGATATACCAATTTTTACTCAGTAAAAGACGCAACCGAGATACACTAATTTTTATTCCGTAAAAACACAACAGTGGTTTACATCAAAAATTCCAAGCATTTTAACTAAGATCCAATTAGAAGATTAGTGTGAATTGGAAAGGTATTTCCTGCATAACAGGAATATGAGCTCTAGACAGAAACAAAAAAAAACATAGGAATTTGACGGGAAACAATCTGAGGAATGCAAAACGACTCATAAGAGAAAAACATTTATTTGATTACTTATTTGTTTGGAATTTGGTGGGAGTTTCGCGATATCAGAATTCGTGACAACAACCGGTAATCATGCAAAACTACGACCAAGATAAGAACTGTATTCGACGACAGTATGAAGGATAAGAATGGGAAATCCTTGAACGACAATCTTGTAAGGGCGATCGGTCTTATTAAAGGATTTGATAAGATCAAAGACCTTAAACAACAGCCAAGAGGAAAACACAGAAAAGGATTTTCATCAAACTCAAGTCGTAAGACCGACACCATCATTCTCCACCAAAATAAATAAAAAAAAAGATTATGAATTACCTATATTTGAAGCAATGTTCCAACATCTTCTGAATCTAGCTTGAATAGAGAACATCCTTCTATCTCATGCTGCTGTAGGTCTAATCAGGATGATAAAAGGATGGCAAGACTTTCGCGAATATTTGCCTTAGTCTCATATTGCTGTCTGTTCAGCAGCTGTCTTGTATGCATTTCTGAATACTTGTCGCAGTATTTTCCATTATCCTTACTCTTGCTTCAAATTGAGAAATATTGGTTCGTCGTAATGGGCACTGAAATCGTTAAAAAAATCTCAAATTTTGTTTTATTAAAAGCCTTGTTAAAGCCCGTTACTTCCTGTCTTCTTCTGCTTAATTTGACAACTCTTTAAACTTTACTTAATGTGTCACTCACAATCCGCCAATATGTTTAATCAAACCTTGTATTATTTTAACCTCACAAAACCTCGATCCCAATTTTCTTAAAACACCTTCATATCTTTCTCAACCGTTTCAAGAAAAACTGCCAATAATGCTCTTTTAATCCTTCTAAACTCATGCGCTCTTTTGCCGCAGCTAAAGGCGAATGCGAAATAGAGTTCGGAAGAAAAGGAGTGTAAAGCTTAAATCTTGTATTTTACTACCACGAATACAATTAATATGATAAATGTAAGCCCTAAACTTGTACAATTAAACCTACATTTGAAACAATAAAATCGACAATACACAATCACCATGTAAATATTACAAAACATATTTTCAAATAAAAAACATCATATTAAATAAAGAACATCATAAATGAATCGAAAATACAAGAAAGAATACAAAAGGAAAAGCCATTCTTCCACCCTCGTCCACTCTTTGGCTGGTATTTGTCGTATCTATTCCCTCGACTAAAATCGCTGGTCTTTTTTTTAAGAATCCTCACCATTACTGGTTAAATTCGCTCCACTGGCCTGTCGCAATATGCCAGTCCTTTGACGATAGAAACACAGGTGAATCACCAGCACCACCCGGATTTTTCACAGGTTTACTCTTGTGGGGAATCGAACCTTAGCACCGGCAAACTGAGCAACAACCCATTGAGCCATTCTATTCCCTCCATCCAAAAAAAAGAAAAATCGCTGATTTTTTTTTTGCGATCATTTCTGTAACCTTTGTTTCATCAGATTGTTTATTTATAGTAATTTTGAAAATCAGAGTTTAAAAAAATAAAAAAAATGAAAATTTTATGCAAAATACTAAACAAATCAACCCAAAAATTATTTTCGTCTAAATGAAATCCTTGCTCATAACCAAATGAATTCCTTGAAGAATTCATTCAAGTATACAGCAGTATCATGAATAGCAATAAGCACTTTAGGGCAACTATTCTATAAAACCGTATAACTTTGACGTCAAGAAACCCTCGATTTTTTAAAAATTTATCGGTTCAGGAAGAGTCAGCTTTAAATATCTTGGATCCTTTCTTCTACCAAACTAGTCAAATGAGGTATGAAATTTCAGTCCGAAATTTCAGTTCAATAGTTGCAACTAAAAATGATTTTCTCGGCCTATATAAACCTTTATCAAATCGCCGAGAAGTCAACATCGAAACGAAATACACTTCCGTATAGCCACAGCAAGCATAATCCTACCATACAACCACCTGAAGTTTGTAAAGGAAAACATAAAGAAACTATCTGTTCCACTTTGATTGCCTAATACGCATAAGCTAAAACATCAAATGATACGCAAACAGCTTCACTCACTCCTTTGTCAGTTTCTTCACCGAATTGATGCATATACTGCCACTTATTAATCCATGTGATGGATGACTTCAAAAGGGCTGCGCGGATGAAAGCCACGAATCCTCTTTACATAGCTACAGTTAGAACTGCTTCCTTTCAGCTTGCGAAACCTTTGTCTAACCAAATTAATGAAACGAAAGCTCTCATAAAGCTCTTGCCTTTCCACGAAACACCCAACGAAATAGATATCAAGAAAGCAATGCCATCAATCCTTATCCAAATACTTCAGCTGAATGTCATAATCGCAATCCCTCGATCTGCAAGGTGTAAAAAAGGCACCGAAATGTCTCATCCTTGCATCCTAACCAATTATCGTTAATTTCGTATATCTGAAGCTGCTGTATATATTATCATTATTTTCCACTAAATAGATTCAATTCTGTGAGAACCATTGCAATCCTACTGATATGTATTATGTATAATTTGCAACAAATATTTTGGACAAATTTTTTTAAAATTTTCTAAATATTTATAAAAATAAAACAAATATTAAACATACATACCCTCAATAAATATGAAATAACAAAGACATTAAATATAAGTGCACAAACACTGGAAAAAACTTCAATCTTATAGCAAGCTTAAGTTGAGTTTTTCATCCAATATTACTGAACAAGACATTATTTTCCACGAAATCAACCTGTATAATCGTTATGATCAAATAACAGCTGATCATAATTCTGAGCAGAGATTTCACGACCTGCAAAAAATCGTTTATCAAGAGCTTGACGCGCAACATCAGCTTCTCTACAGTCCGCAAAGCGAACAAATATTTTCACACTTTCATTGGATGGATCTTGAGCAATTACGACCTGAAATAAATACATTTCGAAGACTCTAGAAAAACATAAAGAGATATAACACAAATTAACACGTAATTCAGTTAATAATTCAAGATTATACTTCCTGTACTTCACCATATTTGCTACATTCGTCGCGTATTTCATCTTCCAATTCATCATCGATTTCTTTCGGGGTCACCATATTTTTCAACACAAGTACAGTTGACCTGTTTGTTCTCATTAATTTATGCATCAGCAAGTGACGAGCATCATTACCTGCGAAAAGTGAATAATTTAACTTTCAACGTTTACATCATTTAAAGGGAACGGCCACAACTAAAAGCAAAACCTCTAATTTCAAGTCCTTCTTGTGCTGCCAAAGAAACATCATCAGAATTCACTGCTTGTGAAAGCATCTGATCATTCAGCTCACCAGCTCTGCTTGCAGCTTCTAGTGCTTGAGGGGTATTTAACTTAAAATCTTTGATTTAAAAACGGTTGAAACAAAACTTCAAAATTTTGGCATAACTCCTAAAAACTAAGAAAGGTAAACAAACTTTATGTAAAATAAATTCAAACTAAATGAGCTAAGAACCTGAGGTCCTTTAAGAAGATTTGGCACTAGTTTCTTGCTCTTCTTCTTTTTGTTTTGATATGACCGATCATCAGGTTTTGATTTTTCCTTAGTATTAGCTTTTTCTAAATCCATTCGAGGTATACAACTATCTAACAAAACTAGCGCCATTGAGTCCGTACTATCGTCGAAACCTTGCGTGAGGGCAGGTTGCTTCAATGATAGAGGTGGTACAGCACTAAAAATGAAAATAACTGAATGAATTCGACAAAATTATAAATGCCAAAGAAAAGAAATTATTAAACTATATTTAACTGCGAGAATACTTTTTTTTATTAACTGGAGCAATATTAGCTGGTAATGGAGCAAAAGTTGCAGGCTCAGCTGCTTTCTGTTTCGGTACAACATCTACGTTAATACGTGATATTATTGAGGAAGTTGATTGTGCAATTTGAAGAGGTGTTGACGAGTTCTGAAAACACGGACGTTTCTTCTTGCTTTCATACACTTTTTGTTAACGATCTTCACTTGGTTGTACTAATTGTTTTCTTTGTTGAAAAAAAACCAAATGTAGACCAGTACATTCTTTGCTAACGTTCCACCACTTAATTTTAAAAGCTTCCCACAAAATATTTCGCTACATTTACAAGAATCTAGCAAAAAATTTTTAAACACCGAATATCTCTTGGATGATGGCAAAAACATCGAAAACTTCGAAAAACGAAATAAATAAAAATAAATAAATAAAATATAAATAATATACAGCAGGCAGCGGTGGAGTAGGAATTGCGCTGACTGGAGGCAACGGTGCATCAATAATTTGAGGGGGCGGTATGTTAACAACTTGAACTGGAGGAGACTGTGTAGCAAATCCACCAAAACCACGACGACTATTAGAAGTATTTGTTGACTGCAACAACACAGGTGTAGAAGGAACTGTTGAAGGCAATGGTGGAGGCGGTATCGAAGCCTAAAATAATGAAGCAGTGTTTGAAGACTAACTAACGACAAAGAACCTCATAAACAAGCAAAAAAATTCAAGTCATCTTAAAATTATTCACAGTCATTCATTCTCGACTAACCAGGGAGGAAGTGGAAACATATGCGTGTGATGGCGATGAGACAAGTGAGGGCGATATGCTAGGAGATATATATGAAGTTGATAGTAAAGGTGGTACTGTTGCGACGCCAACGGGAGGTACAGGCGTAACGACGTTTGATTGAGTAACTGATGCCAAATTAGGGGACGACGAAACAGACGGCAAACTTCCACCAATCAACTGCAAAAAAATGATTAGATTCTTCAAAATTAATACAATTAAATATTCATTAAAACTTACTTTCGGTGAACTCACCGGCGATTTCTTGGCAATCATTTCCTGTTCTTGAATTTTAGCCGTAACTTCTGCTGCAGCAACAGCAGCTGCTGTAGGCAAATTTATAGCTGATGTCGGAACAATGTATGTAAGTGCATCTGGTGGTGTAATGCATTTACCCACTCTCAGATACTGCCCGCCAAGGTCAAACATGTTCATGCCAGCAATAGCTTCCGTTGCTGACGCCGCGTTATTGAATTCAAGGTAGCCAAAACCTCTAAAATTAACAAATTTGATAGAAAAACATGATAAATAAAAATGTTAATTCATTTTTTTTAGAATGAGTGATGTAAAACATTGTATAAGATATTTTACCTATGCCCACTACCAGCATTAGGTCCCGTAGCTCTCGCTAATTGACATTTCGTAACCTCACCGAATGCTTCAAAAACACTTTTGAGATCAGACTCCGAAAGGTCAGGATGTACAGATGCAACATAAACACTGAAATAAAAAAAGTGGAAGATTTCCATCTTCTTCTTCACAAAACTCTAGCAACAGTCTTAGATTAAGTTGCAGCATATTTCTATCGTAACTCTACGATATAATGGAATCATCTTACATAACCTGTTATATAATAATCATTTGCAAAAATAATTATCAGTGCTTTGCATATTTTTCATTTATTCGCTTATACACGTGTATTTGAAAATCACAAGTTGTAAAACCTATCGAATTCCATGGTGCCATTTCACTATGGGGAACCGCCGTTCGAGAAATGCTTGGTACCCAGTCATTTTTCCCAACAGTTGATTTATTTAAATATACCTAAATGCACATTACGAAAATTCCTTCGAGAATTGTAAACTTGTCTAAACTGTCTAAATCTGCATTAGCTGTGAACGGCACCAGCTAATTCAATGTATAACGCTCCGACACAATAATGAGACCAGTGCTGAACTGTCTAAAGTTCGGTCAAGATGACTTCGAAATGACAGCGGATGAACTCCGAAAAAAATATGCCAAGCTTAATAAAAACTGCAGAACTTGCATACTTGCATATAAGAAAAGGAGTAAATCAGGCATCCAAAGGATATAAGAAAAACAACCGTGCTAAATTCACTGTGACCGCAATATATTTAAAGAAAGGGAAAATTGAGCTATGCAGTAAATGGTTGGAATATATATCAATTTTTTATTAAAGTCTACTTGTAGATTTGATTTTTATGCGCAATTGTACGGTTCAAAACGAAAAAAAAATCCAAAGCACTGCTATAAGTGAGATATTTGGACTTTCCATTCCATTTTTAAAAACAGCGAACTAATAGGTAAATCGATGTATAAAAAATATTGAAGGGGCTGCAAATGTTACATAAACTGTAAAGATTAAGAAATAAACTAAATATTACCGATGATAAGCTTTAGCTTCTTGCATGACCATTTCAATGATTGGTTGCGCCTGTGGCATATTCGAAGGCCTTCCAACCTCAAAATTCAAATAAGTGTGTAATACTAAGCGATTTCACTCTACCTGACTATTACCAGCTACAACAGTTCCATATAAGTAAATGAAAAGAATGAGACCCACCCATTCCATTCAATACTACGCTAAAGATGATTTTCAATTCTTATAGTGGGTGTTGCTATAATCATGTTGTCAACTCAAAACGAATAGTTATTTATCAGATTGACAGTGAACTGGAAAGATAAGTATGAACCGTAAAAACCTCATTTCCGACTGCAAATTGCGACCACTCGATAAAGCTATAAGTGATCCATTGATCTAAATAAAGCACGGAATTTTTAGCAAAATATCCTTAATAATTTCAATCCGGTACTTGTGAGGACGCATAATTAACAACCAAATGAAATAACGAAAGAAAAGGGAAATGAAAAAAATTAAATACATTAAAACTGACTAGAACATTAACCTTGAGATTGCGTCCACCCATCAGAACGCCATTCATGGATTCCTGAGCCAAAAGAGCAGCTTCCGGTATTTCGTACTCCAAGAAGGCAAATCCTTTATGATGCTTTAAAAAAATGAAATTGAAAAAAAAAATGAACCGAAGAAATATTTCATATTTCATATTCAAGTAAGAAACCTTTTTACCATGTAGAGACCACAATGTTACAAAAGTATAAATGAATATATAAGATTCTTGAAATGAAAGTCTAACCCCTGTTACGGCATCCCAGCTCATATTTATGGATTTTATAGGACCAAATACACCGAATGAATTCTTGATCATTTCTTCACGAACCTCAAAACTTATCGAGCCAATATACACACGAGCCATAAGAGATAAAGCCTGCGCATACATTGCCACTTTCTGTTGCTAAAAACGATTCCTCTCCACAAAAACTTTATTAAAAAAAAACTTCTGCCGCAAATTAATTGAGAACATATTACATTTTGTTGATGAGCGACAGTCTGCCTTAATAGTACTTGTTTGATTGACTGCTCCTTCGCATATTTTTTTGCATCAGCCAACCAATCTTTCTGCTTAGAACGCAACTTTATCAGACCAAGGCCCAACAACTGAGCTTCCTTTTTTGCTCCAGGTCCCACGATTATCTGGAAGGTTGCTTTTCTCTGCCGTATATTTTAAAATTATGTCGATAATGATTTTTGCTCAGAAAAATCAACTATATTCCTCCTACTCGACTTTCTTATAAAAACTAAATATCTTAAATCTTAACAATCATTTTCATTTCACTCTATACAATTCTTTAAAATTTTTCTAAGTGTAATAATTATCGAAATATATTTCAAACTTAAAAATCGAATTTAGATAAAAATTTCGTTACGGAAACATATGGAGATATGTAAATTACCAACATTTCCTGCCTGGGGTAGAACTGGCATTGCAACAAGAACTTCACTGGGTACATGGGCAACTGACACTGGTGGAGTCGGCACAGTTCTCTCTATAGTTCCATTCGCCCCTGAAAAAATATCAGGAATTATAGCTGAATAATTCATTTAGATAAACATCCATCTCACAAATAACTGTAGGCAAGAACTTCTCAAGACCGACGATATTAACTAAAATTAATACTCGACGATTAAACTTACAGAACAATTAATGAACCAACTAAAAAATTATGAAAAATTAAATCTTTAAAACATGCAAGAAACAAAAAGTACCTCCGAGTGGGGATGTTTCTGTATCTGCTTCACCAGAACTCATTGACCTGCAGTGATTATTCAATTTTAATTTAAAAAATGAGATACAAATCGCTCATGTCGCCGCCATTTAATAATTTCAAGGGAACTATTGCAGCTTATAAACGAAAAATTTTTTGTAGCGCAACAAAGCGCCCTACTGGTAAGTGGAATTGTGTCCTAACAAGAAACGCGGGTAATGGCTAAAATTGAAAACGGATTCATCGCATTAAAACTTCATAATAGACCTCACAACCATCCATATTTTGAGTAAACATTTTCTAAACCAGGCTTAAATATCTCAGCATCTTCAAAATACACTGCCAATCTTGCCTGGAACCACTCCAAACTCCTCCTCATACAGTTATATCGCCTTAAGATCATCCACTCCAATTACGGTCCCACGACATTTTAAACTGCTGCCACTGGTTATATTTTAACAGAACAATAGTGTATATGCTCTGGTGAAGGAGGAGAGGAAGGGAAGGATGGAGGCAGGGTAGAGAACAATTTTACAGGACATAAATGAGTTTCATCCTGAAAAAAACACAACAAATATAGGTCTTATAGCCGCCTTACACCACCTAGAACAAACCAACACAAAACCACGAACACACTAGCTCACCATAGCACTACTCGAATGACATTCTCCAGAAAGGCATTGTTAAGAGCTTGAAATTCAGGCACGATCACCATGAGGCTTTCCTATTATTAACAGCACAAAATCACTCAGTTTATAAATGTTAGGTTATACTCGAGGATTTTAATATTCAATTTTAGATTTAAATCAGCGGAGAGTTGGTTAAATAATCTTCGATTTCTTTCGCCAGCATCAAAAATCGATCTGCGATTTGGCTGTGGATCTCCACTTCTGAAGAAAAAAGTGCATTTCGCATATCTACTTTTATTATATATCTTGCTTATCATATGGTTTGGGAAATTAAGGGTTCTGTGCAGTATTTTAGCTGTTCACAGCAGTGTGCCCTTCTGGTCAGAGATCTCTGATGTTCCTTCTGGGATCTTTTGGAGCCACTTTTTTAGTTCAGTGATTAGTTCCTAGTGTTCCAATTATTTACTAGTGCTCCACTTACCACTGAGACCTTAGACTTTACTTCATACGTCTCTAGCCTATCTAACTGCCACCCACACATTTTCTCATATCTATCGCCGTAATTTCTCATATCGCCGTAATTTTCCTGGAATCCATTGAAACCATCATTCCGGTTCAGAGCCTTTGCTGTCCACATCTTCTGTAGTTTCTCAGCCTCTTCGCCTCTTCTTCATCTTTCAGCCTGTCGCGAAATACGAGAAATCGCGATATTTTTTCTAAAATTATTATTTCAAACTGGTGACTCTGAGCCGCCAAAAGAAAACGTTCATTAACTTAATGGACTCTTTGCTTATTCCATTCCATATGTCAATAAAAGATTATGGTTTTCTAGAAAATTACTCTTTTCTTAATGTGGAACCATCGAGAACCCATCAACGGTTGGGTCCCAACATTTGAAGATTCGAATATACATTTTTTGTTGTTTTATAATTTATGTTTTTGTTCATTTCTTTTGTTTTTGTTTTCTTAGTCTTTGATTTTAGTTCATATCGAATAGTTTTTTCTATCAATAGATTAATGAGGTTTAATTATTTAAGTCTGAGGTGAGAAATGAAGAATGAAATTTTATAAATACGTGTGGTGATCAATTTCAATACTACTGTCCAGAGCAAGTTTTTTTTAAAATATTAAAGAGTGGCATCATTCCACTGCCTTCATTTATTGTTCTATTTTCCGTTTGTACCGAATATTGCTTTTTCTATTTATATACAGGGCAAAACAAGCGCTTTGGAAACTGTTGTTGGACATAATCCTGGAATGTGGAGAAGGCTGTTGGAATGGTTGGTTCTACAACAAAAGAAAAATACTATGACTTTATAAAGTAACCAGAATTCAGGAAACGATCTGATTTTCGCCTTCTACTAACTAGGCAATACCAATTAATGGCTGCACAAGATAGCAAAAAAAATTGCCTGAGCATCGTAACCCATTCCTATACATTTTAATGATTAAATTAATTAACAGAGAGAGCTCTGGACGGAGGATGAATGCTAAGGTGTTCCAGAGAATATCATCCCACTTAATGCATTTTCCAGCGAATATCAGCACAAGTATGGGGAATTGTATGTATGGGGAATTTGTTTCAAGCCCTATCATGGTCGTTATTAGAAAAAAGCCGACCCAATAACTTTGAGTTATTAAGAGACAATTGGTTAATGTAATATAGATAATATAATTAAAGTTTGAATGATTATCGTTTAACAGATATGAGCTATAAATAGCACAAATTCTCTTTGGTTTTGTTTAACAGTAAAGCATATTATTAAAAGGTTGTATAATAAATCTGCTTTTTAAGAAATGTGCAAGAAATATATATGTACATATATTTGAATGGAACTTCCCTATTTTCAGTTTTTTTTCTTAAATCTAAATTCGTCTATGAATAATTTCTTTTATAATGACGTCTACAAATTTTGCATTTTCTAGCGCTTTACAGTTTTTGCTTCTGCATATTGCTGTATCTTTTGCCACACCATTACGTAATGCTTTGGTATTTATTGATACTTTATAAGGCAAAGGACCTCTCAGAAGAGAAGTAAAGATCGGCATCCGCGTTACAATCATTACCAGTGTTGCTCGAATTAGTACAGACACTAAATTTAATGATACAAGTCAGAACTTCGCAATAAATACACTTACTCGAAATGAAGCAACGTCACCATCATCGAAAACACTTCCACCAATTCAGAGGACATCAAATTTTTGTTTAAGACGTTTATCAACGTTTATTAACACTTTACTACCTGCACTGTATTATTTTTTTGATCTTTTGTTAGTGAAATAAAATTATTGTAGTAAATCATAGGAGACAATATCAGCAAAAAATTAGCTACACCTTTTCATTCCAAAGAAGAACCCCTACTAATAGTCAGCCTTATCCACACTTCCCTGACACGCCATCCGAGCAAACCCACAGCTAAATCGAAATGTTAACTATATCACAAAACTTTATTACTACAGCAGAAGCTGATAAATTCAATCGGTCAGCCGCAGATTCATAGTTTTTGCAGTTTTTGGTTTTGGTACTTTTTGGTCCATTGTTAGGTATTGTTTATAGAATGAGAATGACTCTTTTGCGGCTTTTTTGTAGAGGCTTCAACATAATTTTCCATACTAAGAAATTTTTAAAAAAGTATTTCTTATTAGCCTTGTTTATTTATTTATTGCTTATTTTTTGCAGAAGTGGGATCAGGAACTGCATCAATATGATGGAAAATTTGTCGTTGATCGTAGTAATCTGTTTAGCGCTTGTTCTGCTGCCTTTACTCGTCTTATTTATGCTAGTTTTTCTTTTTTGTAAATATTTTCGGACAAAATGGCTTTAGCGCCTCTAAAACGGTTTGGCGTTTTCACTTGCAGAATAAAGGACATTTCAACGACATCATCGTCAGCATTTCAGACAGCATTTTAGATTCGCCCAGGAAGCTGCGTTTTCATCGAAGAATCATTTCTTACTCGCGCACTGCATTTTTTCAGTACGGATTTATTTGCGAATTTACACTCAGGATTTACATTTTCCTAAAAAAAAATATTAAAATTAAAAAACACCAGAGGAATATCGCGATTTGCTGGCTATTGCTCGCGCACGAGTGTGTAATTACAGCATTATTATCTTAAATTGCCACACTTATCTTCAAAATAATCAGCACCATGACCATGTGAACGACTAAGGAGATAAAAAAAGCTTAATGTATAAGATCCAAATAAATTTAATAAGTACTAATTGATTTCGTCAGTAAACATCGCATTTAAGATTTGCTCTGATTTATTGCCTTGCGTGTTTCCTAATATGATTTCGTTATTTCCTGCATACGAAATTATTTTCGTCTTTTTTCATTACTCTTTAACAGGAGTGAACTTGATAGAAACCAAAGATTCAAGTGCTGTTGGCCTTCTTCAAATGGCCTTATAGCTTAGGAATCTAAGTCATATTCTAACAAACAGGCGACGTACGCCTTCCAACACAAAGTGTACAAGCAGTAGGAGTATGAAGTGGGTCCAGTTCGCTAGCTCTAATGAAAAGAAAAGTTTTTAAACTCGTTGGGAAATTCGGACAAACGTCTATGGGCCATGCGGCGAAGCTACTCAGACGTAGCATTGAACATTAAGACCCTAATGGATGCTGGAAATCAAGGAATTCTCACTGTATACATCGAAGCGGAGACTAAAAAAGAAGAAAAGACGAAGAAAATAAAAATGTACGTAAATGCAAACATGCTTAAAAATTGACGAGCAAAAGAACATGTAAAATGTGCGATCTCGCAGAATCCCTGCTTTGATGTGGTCCAAGAACATGTGATAAAATATGTCATGCGAATTTGGCTAATTCAGCAATGTGTAAATTTTCGTGCTGTCGCAAAATTTTAAATTTGAAAGTATCTCTGAAAGTATAGCGCAAATGATTTTCTTTTCTCATCTAATTTTTGAGAACTCTAAAAATTATTATTTTAAAATTATTTTTGAACGCTATTTAATTAATTTATAACAAGAGAAGAGAAATAAAAGAAAAATTCATTCAGTTAAAATAACAAAGATTAATATTTTCAGTTTGTCGCATGTAACGATTCACCCAGTGCAATCCAAAGAAGAATTACTTAGCGAGATGTTTTTATACAATCCAGATGGCGTAGAAGCAGAGCGTTTTCCTAGCATCGTGCATTTCACCAATTTAATAAAACAAAAGAATACTCACCCGTCATTATATCTTTCAGTTGTCGTCCCAGCTATGAATGAAGAAGTCATTTCATTTTAACGGGTTATGATTAAGAAATTAAGTTAAAAATAAATGGTTGTTTCAAAATAAACGAATTCGAGAAACTCGACATTTTCAAAAACTTTCCATATTAAACTTTCCACATTAATCCGAAGAAAATTAATCATGAGGCCAATTTGTAAGCGATCAAAAAATAAAATTATGGAACTTTGTTTCCAAATATATCATTTAATTTTGAGGAACGACTTCCGGCTATGTTGGACGAATGCCTTCCGTATTTGAGACATCGCTCAGAAATTGACGCTTGTTTCACTTTTGAAGTAAGTCGTGTCTTAAAAAAATTTTACAGATATGTTTAAAATTTTGGTAATACGTCTTTATGCAGCGGTTTTTTTCAATGAATTCTGTGGGCAAATAAAGACTGTTATATGTATTAGGTTATAGTTGTTGATGATGGTAGTCAAGATCGTACAGCGGACATCGCATACAAATATTCGCTAAAATATGGAAATAATGTTGTACGAGTTTTGAAACTGAAAAAAAATCTTGGGAAAGGTTTGCTGAAAAATTCTTAAAAATTGTGTTTCGTTTCATCTCTTTAATCAGTATTACTGTTAAAAATTATCGCATTAAAATTCAGTATTGCAGTAATGCAGTATCTACTATTCTGGTATTGAATTTGTCAATTTAATAATTTCTTACTAACTTATAAGTCTTATAAAATAAAAGAATGCTGATCTAGGTGGTGCAGTGCGTTCTGGAGTTTTGCGAAGTCGTGGATCCATGATTCTGTTCGTTGATGCAGATGGTGCTACTCGTTTTTCCGATTTTGAACGGTTAGAAGAAGAGCTTCTGCGGCTGACGACTTTTGAAAATCGTTTGGTCGAAGATAGAACGAAATTTAATTGGTCATTTCCTGCAGTTGCCATTGGATCTCGGTATTTCCTCAGTTCTTTTTTCGTGACAGGTTGCAAGAATAGAATATGTGCCATTTCACAAATTTTATGGCATTTTATCTTGGTTCTATCTTTTCATTTTTCTTATTCTTGTTATCTTTTCTGACATCATTGGTTAACTTTACTTGTTGCAAGGATGAGGCTTTTCCTAGCAGCTGAATCTGACGCCTTATCTGACGATTGAAGATAATAAAAGCCACTCTTTTTTCCACTGTCTGAAATTATGTATCGCTTAATATTTTTCATGACTGTATTTTAGGTCGTAGTTGGTCTTTCTTGATTTGCTGCTTCTAATGCTTTCCTTCACATGGTTTAGCAAGTAGCGAAATTTCCGTCAATATCTGCAAAGGGCTGTGAAGGACATGGTCTTGTGAACTTCAGCAAAGTGAAAAGAAAACTTAATACGTTAATACGGAATGAAAGTTTCACTGCAATTTTCTACATATGGTCTAGTATCCGCTACAATTCATCATAACTATAAGTAGTCATAACTATAAGCAAAAGTGATACACCATCAGCATACTCAAGGTCTACGATGTTGTTTGCTTAATACTTTTTATGGCTGTGCATGGAGTTATCTATAATCCAATCTATCGCTCAATTGCATATTACAGGGAAATGTATGCCTAATGTAAAGAGGTTCTAATTTCGAAAGGATTTGTTGTTTCCCCATATGCACAGATTTAAGCTTTTATTCGCTGGAAAATTACCTCAATGATTTGGGTGATCTTCTTTAGGACATCGTCCTATTCAGTGATTTAGAGCGCCGCTCTATCAGAATCAAAAGCAGCGGCTGAATTATTAGGTTACAATGGGCTATTAATTTGAGATGATATTCTTAGTATGAATTAGCGCACCAGCGCTTCAGTCTGAATTAGCATGGTTTGAGCCCCATCTTGCTTTCTCATGCTACCATAAGTCTTTTCATCGGAAGCGAAAATTTTTCTAGTTTGCTGGGCAACTTCTTATCATCGTTCTTAAGGATTAGAATATTGCTTTTCTCCAGTCATCCGATATTAGTTTTTTGCATATTAGTGGTTACATGATATAGGTCATTGAACCGTATATTTGAAGAGTTCAGCCAAATAACTTCCTTCTTTGCTAATTTTGTTTCCTTCTAAAGGATTCATATATTATTTTTTGTTGTGTTGACTATTCGCACTTGGAGTCATATGCATCGATGAGCATTTCAGTTATGGAAAAGCAATTAGACCTAACCGGTTAAAAGGAATCACTATGCATAGCGTGGTAATGAGTGGAATTAGAAATTACTATCTGTAACATGCCTGAAATATGTTCGAGATGGTAGATGGCGCGTCATGCTTAGATTTAGGCTCAAAGTTCTCTTCCCACGTCTTCAAGAGATGTCTTCATTATCTTGGATAATTTCTCTGATCGATTCAAAAGTTATAGATGCTGTTTAAAATAGATGAAGCAGTTTTTTATTGTTGCACACCACCTTCTCCATATTCGGGACCATATCACTCCAGTTTGCACGCTTTCGAAGCGTTTGATAGTAAAGGTTTTTTGGCATACACACTCTGGTGGCCTATTCGAGCAGACCATTCATTCTTATCCAGTTAACGTGATTTTTCGGAGATGGCTTTAGTTGATATTAATAGGAGTAGAAGTATACGCACGGATTTTCAAGATATAAAAGAATTTCTCTTTGATGAGAATTCAAGTCATGGCGATCGCCATACCATTTCTTCCGGAATCATCTGGAATGCCGCAATGGTGAAGTCAATATTTCTGCTACCATAAATCAGGTACGAGGATTGCTGGAGACATGAAATGAGAAAGAGGGATTTCCGATAAGCAGGCAATGTCCATACGGAATTTGGGTAGGGTGTGGGCATTTTTCACTTGACTTCCGATAGCCATAAGCCTTTTAACTTTCGACACTGCTACACCAAGACTTCGTGTACAGAAGCATCTTCAATAAATTTTGAGCAATTATATTGGTTCGTGAGCTTGTTCTTCTTCACCGTATTCATTTATTTATTCATCATATTTACGGCATGTTGAGTTATTGAATATATCAAAATGTCGCTTGTTTAATGCGCAGGAGGCAGATTGGGATGACCAAATGATGAACTTTTTTGGAGTAGAGAGCAAAGAAATGTCCTCACAAGTCACCGGGGGTTAGATTTCTGGTCAGATTTACTCCTTGAAAGGCTGAAAAAAGTTATGATTTTCAACTTCCAAATTTTTTATTAAATATTATATTTACTTTTGAAATTATTTTAATTTAGAATTTAAGTCAATATGGAAACTACGAAACTTTTTTTGAATTCTTTGTTTGTTTCAAGGGCTTTTAGAAAAGAAATTAATTATTTAATATTTTATGTAGATTTTTTTTTAAGAGCCTCACCCTTTCTGGTTATTTTCATTCTGCTGGCTTGTCGTGCTAGGCAAATGCAAGGGAGTCTCTTATCGATAGAAATACGGATGAGTCCCATCATCATCCAGATTTTATGTTGATAATTAATATAATTTAAATATAATTTAACCTATGTTAATCGTTTCAGACCAAAACATTATTATTTATGTTATTCAGTAACGATAATTTTTTCCATTATTTAAGTTAAAATTGAATTGAATAGCAGAAAGGGAAATAAATTATGTCAGACGATGTTTGGGCATAATTAAAATATTATCACATTATCAGCATCAGAAGTTTCAGTGCTTATATGGAGAAGGAGAGCATGGTTATGCGTTCTTTTTTTCGTGCAGTTTTGATGGTAGGTTTTCATTTGATGGTTTACATTTTTGCAGTGAAGAGCGTCCACGATACACAATGCGGATTCAAGCTTTTTACTCGTGCTGCGGCAGCAAAAGTAAGAATTTACCGAAAATAATTTAGATTACACTATACTAGTAGTGTAGTACCACATTTCAAAAATCTTTGCGTTTGGCAAGTATTTGATGTTTATTTATTTGCTTTATTTATCCAAGTGGCTATTTGGACTTCTATTCCCAAATGTCTATGGTAAGAGGATCTTTATATTGATACGATTTTCGCTCCCCTCCAATGCATTAGGTCCTCCTGGCTTCATGGTACATGCGGCGAGTATGCAAATCAGTCCTGGTAAAACAAGGTTGAAAAAAAGGGCTCTCCAGCCATAATTAGATCTATTACTCGAAATCTGCTGAGAAAAAGCAAATAACTATCAGTTAACTCTATACATATGCAACGAAATGAGGTGACAGAATAGAATGTCAGGATGCTTGTGAGCATTAAGAGTCACGTCACAAATGTCCATACCCTCTAAATATCGCAGAATCGTAGAAATCCATCATGTAATATCTCGAATGTAACGAATGTTGTTACCAATCAAAGGCGAATCTCCGAAAGTCGGCATAGTCCACGCTAGGACGGAAAAGCGTTGGTTGGGCGATATAAACAATGATCGGCCTATACGAATGGACCAGCAGAACATGCATTTTAAAAAGTTTTGGCTATCGGATGCCTTGAGGATATGCAGCAACAAGCGGTGGCCCAGAAATCGTTAGAGTCTAGAGTGTTATGGTCCTGAATTTGGCAATAGTTGCTCGAGTAGGCAAGGAAACTATTTCGTCTTTTACGGTGGAGAGGAAACATAAGCACGACACCTTCTGTCATCTCGGACTTAACTGAAATGTCGAGTCATATGTTTGCAACAGAGATTAGAATATTGCAGTGCCGTCACTTCTTTTATTGATTTTGCCGCCTCCATTACCTTCAATTTAATTAATGTGGTGGTATCGGTGATAGAACTCAACAATGTTCAAGAGAAAATCTTTCGATTTCTAAAAGCATTTTACCAGCGTACATTGGCAAAGATCTGGGTGTATGGAGAATTAACAGGTCATTTCGAAATGAGAACTGGTTTTCATCAAGGTTTTCATCTACTATATTTAATTGTGTGATAGACTGGATTGTGGGCATCATTTGCCAACAGTCAAGAGTTATGCAGGTCATTCCAAAGCGTAGTACCGCAAGTCTTGAATATACTGCTGCTGATGTCATTTTTGCTGGCAGTTACTGAGGAACTGCAAGCAATTCCTGGCGGTATATTGACAGCTGTCACAAAATTCATATTCAGGGTCACTATAAATAACAAAGCTTTTTGTTTTTCTTATTTACATTAATCTACATTAATTTATTTACATCTTATTTACATTAATTTAATAACCCACGCTGGTTAAGCCATGTCGTTCGCCACCGTCACAAGCATCACAAGTGCACATCTCGCTATTTGTTAAGTAATGTGATAAATGCCATTAAAGCAAGAAGCACCAGTTGAAGTTAAAAGAAATTATGACGATATAATTTTCCGAATATGTATTTATGCTTTAGTTGTTTGTGGTCATGCATATTGAACGATGGGCTTTTGATGTCGAATTATTATATTTGGCAGAACATTTCCATTTTCCTATTCGAGAAGTCGCAGTACAATGGCATGAAGTGGATGGATCAAAAATTATACCAATATATTCTTGGTTACAAATGGGCCGTGATGTGGTCCTTATTTGGTTTCGCTACTTTTTTGGTATATGGAGTTATGATAAGATGGAATAAAGAGAATGACTGATTGTTACTTCCATCTTAAATGAATTTTTTATTTCAAGGATTTGATCTTTTCATTCATATTGTTGGTTATTTTCTTTATCTTATATTTTATTTATTTTGTGTTGTGTTCATTGCTTTTCATAATTGTTTGTTGGTTTTATTTTGACATTCATATTCATACGCTTTCTGTTTTTTCTTTCTTTATTTGTCATCTTTTTTGGATAGCCCATTGCAGTAATGTTAAATTATTCTGATTCAAGCTTGAATGTTGATGCTAAATTGTTCTGATGTCAGCTTTTATATTTATGCCAAATTATTCGAATTTCACTTTAATATGGATTTAGTTAGTTTACTTAAATCTTGGGTGTAAATTGATATTTTAAATTTTCTATGTGTTCACTTTTTGAAGAGATCAGGATTTTCTGAAATAAAAATGCGCAGGAACATATTTCTTATACTTTTTGTTAAATACTTGCATATTGTGGTTTTTGTAGTCAAGTTTTTAGTATTTGCTGTTTCTGAAAGATTTTCTCCATTGAATGATTCTTTTCTTATTCTTATGTGAATAAACTTTTCATAATTGATATGATTATTTTATAAAGGCCAAGAGCTGAATCGCGATGAATTTATTGCTTTCTTTTACCGCTATTTTATTTTTTTGATATGGAATATTGGATGGATATCTTTTTGTTTGGAATAAAGAGTAATTTTTCTCGTAATTGGGGGAAATAGCGATTTTCATTGATATATTTAATAAAACAAAATTTTTCTCGCATTTCTGAATTCATTTCGTTCAGGATATGTCTGTGCCAACACGTCATCAAATTTTTCTTGGTTCGGAGAAACGTAAGGAAGAAACTGCGATAAGTATTGCAAGTGAAGAAGCTATTCACAATTCTATAGTTATTCAAGCTGAACATGTTTTAAATGTTTGTTTCTAAATTTTCCATTGCAAGGATTTATAGGGGTTGTATATTTTCATAATTTTTGCATCTTCATTCTGCGCACGCGCCGTAATCATATTCACAGGTTATTTCTTAGTCTTCGAATAATTCAGAAATGTTCAAATTGCAAAAATACTGCAAAAATTGATACAAAAATAGATCTAAATGCCAAAAAATGCTTTCGTTCCTTTTTTACCCTTCGAGATCCCATTGTTTCGCTTCCGCATCCGGTCCACCCAAATATATTTTGTTCTAAACCTTTAGTAACATCTTTTTGAATCTCACTTAACCATCTTTGAATCCCTGCTTAATATGCTCTGAATCTGTCATATTCTTAAAAACCCTCAAAATTCTCGCTGTGATCCATTAACACTCCATCAATCTCATTCCATTCCCTTTTAATATTTAACACTACGGTAAATCTCTAATATCTTAAAATCCTATATAATATTAAGTCACTTAACAGCTTCATTGTAGCCTTCCAGGCACCTAATATTCCTTTAATCCTCTTAACATCTCATCATATCGCATTTTATTCTTTTACAGAAATTCGATATTCCTAAATTTTTCTATTGTTGTTTTTTGCAACTACATTGGGCTTGTCTAAATCCAACATTCTACCAGTTTCTACATTTTATTCCCATGCATTTTTATTTCTTGAAGTTTGCCTTTTTAAAAGTTATATGCCTGCAAAATCTGGACTTGACATGCTGTAACCTTTGATGTCTCCTATCATATTTCGCGAAAAATTACGCTATTTTTTTTTCTTTGTTAGCGTAAAGCTTCTCCACTCTTTTCTGCGCTATACTCTTGCTGCAATCGACTAGAAATCCTTCTATACATTCTCTATCATTTTAATCTCGCAAATAGTTATTAAATCATACGCATTTGCTTACACTTTCACCTATTTCAATGCAGCAAAAAATCAGTTAGATTGTTGTATGTTGTAAAAAAAAAGAATGCTTGCGTATCAATTTATAGAAGCGCTACTGTAGAACATTGGAAATTTTAGGAGATTTAAGGATTTGTTATCAAAGAATACAACGTTTAGAAAACATGATGTGGAAGTTTTAGGATGTGGCAGGTTTGTGGTAGGTAACAAGGGAAATATATCAGAAATTCATGGCTGAGGATTGTAAGAGATCCAGAAGAATTACAAACGACTTAAAGGAAACATTGGAGATGTTAGGAAAATGGAGGGAGGAATTGTTGAATTTGAAAAAAAATTATTTTCTTGGTCTGTTTTGTACATTATGAAATTATTTTAATTTATCTGCAAATATCGTTGATGATTCGAAGTCAGCTGTTCCGATATTATTCTTTTATTTTGTTTGGACTAGGTTGATTTTAGGTAGATTATTTTATTGATTATGTGAATATCAAAAAAAAATTAAATTAAAAAAAACTTGTGGTTATATATTTTCTGTTTTTTACGAGACATCATTTGCCTGTTGGAAATCCTTATTGTATCTGATACAGAGATGCTGATTATATCAGTGTGATGCTTCGAATAATTGGGATGAAATGGTATAGCAGTCATTTCTGAAAGGAATCGATCAATTTTGTCTGCGCAGGAACCTATTAACTACCGGATGAACTGCACTTGCTTTAAAGAAGTATTTTGCAATATGTCGGTTGTCATTGCCATAACAAAAACAATTTCTGTGCATTACTTCAATTACCAGCATAATCTCTCCCAGAAATAGACTCGGTCATAATTGGGGGAGATTGGACTTGGCGTGAGATTGAGACTATCACAATGGCGGTTGATACTAGGGACCAATGGAGAGAGAGTTTATCCTTCGTTCCTAGGAAATTTTTTGCCAGCAATACATGTTTCAACGTTTGGAAAAGTGGTTTAGTTATATGGATCTTTTCGGATAACCAGCACCCGTACCAGTTTAAAATATATATTTTCGCTGAAGAGTTCATATCAGATCGCCTTTTTATTGCGATATTGAATAGAAAGCTGGAAAATCTTTTAATTATCACAAATTAAGACAGTAAGTATTTCATAGCAGTCATCCAACTGGCCCGAAAGACCACCATAGTCCATAGTCCGCTTGTCAAGATATCCTGGCTATAGTGTTTCAAAGGCGTGCAATAATAGCTGTGAATGTTATGATACGGCTGTAAATGTTGCGAAGGTGGATCGAGTAGGCAATAATAGGGTTTTGCCTTTTTCGCAAAAATCATTAAATGGTTATTCAGATAATCCAAGTTTACGATGCGACGTCTGCAAGGCATATTCTCAAAGACACAATGGGAGAAAGTTTTTGAGGTCAACTGTAACCACAGTGCGCCATCTTTTTCTCTGGAATTATTTCTCGAACCATTTGTCTGTTGCTGGGACGTGCCAAATGAGTGTGATTCATGAAGTAATCTCTGTTCTTTAAAAAATTTGAGACCATTAGAACTCATAGATGGCGGTCCTCGTGGCTGCAAATGCTTCCAAGCATTCTTCGTAACTCAATTTTATGAGAATGTATTCAATGGTATCAACAAAAAACTATCAGATCAGTATCAGATACTAGAGCAAAACAATCCTGCTACCATTTGCCAAGAAAATTGAAACGACGTACTCGATAAATCAACCTACGAGATATGAATTGAATCAAAAGCTCTGGTTTCCGCTCTGCAAAATAGATTTATAGCAGCATGAGACAACATCCTAATAGAAATGAAATTGAACCATCGCGTGGGTATTTTGACAAATGTTTTACGACAGGACGGTGTTGGAAAATAATTTCAAAAATAAGTAACCTTTTATATTAAATATCAGATAATTTATATTTATCATTTTTTAAGACATGTGACGAAAGCTCAGATTATGCAAAGGATTATGTTGCATTAAACATTGAAGAATATACCTCACGTATAAATGTTGTAGTGGTAAATGAAAGTGAGGACAGGTTGGCATTAGAATTCGATTTAATCCATATCGAAGCTCCAGTTGCTAATGCGCTCAGGAGAATCCTGATTGCTGAGGTTATTTTTTATTTTTCGGCATTCCTTATTAATTTTTTTATTTCACCGTTCTTACTTCTTCTATCAGCCTCACCATCACCGATTAAGCCGACTCCGCTTGCTATGTCTAAGTCCATATATCACTTGGCCATCTATACGTTCAAAATCTTTCTTGAGCGTATCAGTCCAAGTCTTGATTGACCCACCTCGCTTTTGATGCCAACCATCACAAGATTTGACAAGTAATGCAATATATGTCAGCTCTTGTCGTGGACTAAGAAATATGCCCTAACTAGCGAAGAAGACGCTCCGTGATTGTATTGTTATTTTGAGCGAAGATGCAGTCAGTATGAGATTTTGTTAGAGATTTCACCGTTTATTTATATATTTTTGATGCTTATGTTTCAGGTTCCATCTATGGCCATAGAAAAGGTGTACCTCTATCAAAACACATCAATTATACAAGTGAGGCTTTTCTAAATGGTATTTCTTAAATCAATAACATCACATCTTCAGCTTACGTTTTATATTTTAGCTTGAATTTGATTGAACATTTAGATTTAACAATAAAGTTTTTTTATAGTTGTTTGGAAGTTGCATATATCCATCTTCATAGGTTTCTAGAGTGGAATATTTCCTGCCCAGCCGAAGCAATACCTGAAGTTAACGGAAGATAGTTCATATATTGCTGAACTGCTTATGCAATTAAAATTTCTCCTGACCATGCCATTAATAAACAGACGTTTAAGGATGAAGTTCTATGCCATCGCTTAGGATTACTTCCAGTAAATGCAGATCCTCGTATGTTCGATTTTCCTTCAGAGAAATCAGCAAGTACCAATGAATTGGGTACTGATTGCGATGAAGAACCTGCTGGTGATCCTAAACGGCATGTTAAAAATAATCTCATTTGTTAAAAATTTTTGTTTGAATTTTGCTTCAATTTTTTCAAGATTCAAGATGTAATGATTTTTTGCCCAAAAAGCTTATCTAAAAATCCCTATTTTTAACGTTTAGGAATCTTATATTTGAAATAAACGTCAAATGTACTCGTAAACGCAACTGTCCAACTATCGCTACAGAACCTATATTAATTTATGACAATTCTGTCGTCTACACAAATTCGTTCAAATGGGTCCCAATCGCAAATCAGGAAACGGTTCTCCGACCACCTCCAAAAATGGTCCATGACGATATATTATTAGCAAAGCTAAGGCCTGGTCAACAAATAGAAGCTAGGTAATATTTCTAACACAACTGGCTATTCGTACGCCAGTCTTAACTGGTTTTCTTTATGGCCATCGGTTTGCTACTCCCTCCCGAACATTCAGTTCATACCAGTATGAATACATGATTATTCTTAAGCGTTAATGAGTCTCTATTAGAAACCTCAAAAAATTGGCTTGAAGTTAATTTCTGACCTTACAGATGCCATTGCATAAAAGGTTGCGGACGTGACCACGCCAAGTTTTCTCCGGTAGCTACGGCAACATATCGTATCTTACCTGATATCAAGCTAAAAAAGCAATTTAGTGGCGATGATGCGGAAAGGATAAAATCTTCATTTTCTGAAGGAGTTATCGGCATCGATTCTGGTCTTTTTTTTATAGCATTTTCACCTTAGAAAACTAAGGAAACTTTAATACCTTTTCATTATTGAAGGTGGTTTCGCTTTCGTACAAGATGCCAGACGTGATGCATGCAACAGGAACATTTTTCGATATGAAGATCTTGCCAAGAACATTGAACTTACACGAAGGAAAGGTCATTTTATTTGTAAGTTATTTGTAATTTATTTTATGGGAAACTTCAAACGAGTGTATTATTTGTTCTTATAAGGTTCTTGCTCGTTCTTTTTTTAAATTCATGAAACTGTTTGAAACTATTAATCTTTAAAATGCTAACGCTTTGCAGTTAGTGTTGAAAGTACGGGTGCACTCAAAAGCAGCGATTTAGTTATCGAAGCTTGTAAAATAATGGAGGAAAAATGTCGCTATTTATCCGATTTATTTGAACGGAAAATAAAATTGACGAAAAAGCAAGCAGTTTTTAAAGCAAGAAAAATTAAATTAAAGGAATGACCATCTCCCAGAGCAATATTTCCCATTAAGTCAGCTTCATCATTTACACTTTTTTCCAGATTGAAATAGTTTTTAGATGTTTCTCAAATTGACCACAGTTACAGTGAGAGTTTTTGTAACCGTTTGCTTACTGCTTTGTTAAAATCCATTTCTTGTCGATAAGGCATTTCAATTTTAAATTTTATTCACAAGTTCGAAAATGAAACAACAAACGAAAAAATTTATTCGTGAAAAATCCGCACAAAAGAATGTGCAATCAGAGAAGATTTCTAAGGATAATCTGCAAAATATATAAAACACCTTCATTTTGCTTTAATTTTGGCTAAGAATAAAAAATGATTTCTTTAAAGCAAAATATGACAAAACAGCACAAATAGTACGTTTTTTATTCCAATCAATTATCTGGTAGAAGAGAGGAATATACTTTCTTCCTTGCAAAAGCTATCTCGGGAAATAACTGCAAATAAAGATATAAGCAAATGGTTGCTTAACATTGTGATGGAAGAGAATTCAAAAGTGAGCAGTAAATAAATTATATTTATTTGGTCTTCACCCACCATCAAGAATCAAAGCATTGGAATTTGATGTCATTTAAAACGCACAAAGGGGCTTTACACAAATTTTTATACAACCCATGAGAAAATGCTATTATCCACTATGAGACCCCTAGATCAAGTGAGAGACCTGTTTCTGAGTATTTACCAAAAAAGAACAGCGAATTAATGTCAGCAAGTCAAAAAACAGAAAAATCCAAAGATGGTAACAGATAGTCACCCTTAATTGGTTTCAAAATATGGTTTTCAGTCTTTTAAAAACATGTAAATGGAAATACAAAATGAGATGATCTGACAGCGGACAAATCAGTGATATCTGCTTTGTTAAGAACATATAAGGGAAATAAAAATAGAGAATCGTATAACAAACGATCCAAGGATTAAAGCATAGGCACTGAAGGCAATCTTAAAAAGCAATTCTACCTTTACTGTTATCCACATAAAGCATTAATAGGGAGCACTTAATAAACATGACGCAGTTGCTCTATGTAAAAACATGGTAAACAACGATGTATGGAATACCTGAGACAAGCTGAGCAGCTTCTTCCACAGGTAATATTGATATTCTCTCGAACGTTCGCGGCATTCCTGTGAACTGGCCTGATTTACTGTTAACTTCTACTACATGTATTTTAGAAATTTTTGGAGTTGACTGTACCTATAAAAATCCCTCAGAAGGAAATAAATGAATAAAGATTACTGAAAGAAAAAATTTTCAAAAAATCGTGGATTCGAATAATGCTTAATACCATAATGACAATGCTTAATACCAAAAAAACCGCCAGAAGGAAGAAAAAAATAGAAAGCGTACTATCGGGTCTGTAATCACTTCAATTTTATTAATTTTGATCTCCAGCTCCATTATTTTTTCTTTCAAGTCCTGCAAAGCCATAATATAAAAATAATTATAATAAGAATATTGTGAATAATTAATAGACAAAAAACTGGCATTACTAGGAAACTTAAAAATGATTATACATCATAAAGTTTCGAGCAAAATTCATATTATTTAGGCATATTATTGTTTCAATTGCATTTAATCAATATTTCCTTAGTAAATTTGTTACTATAATTGAACTTTTTCAATCTAAATGGAACTGTTATTAGATGACGCCTTAAATACACTTAAACCATTCTCATCAGCTGATCCCGACAATGTTCCACAAATATTTTATAAAAGGTGCTATCTTCCTAAATCGCCCTCCATTTTTAATTTATTAGGAAAGAAATATGGCTTAAAGAATTTGGAAATTGCCATATAACATACATTCAAGAAAGAAAATATCTATGATCTTTCCGGTTATATGCCTATTAGCCTCCATACGTTGGTTGAAGAGTATTGGAGATATTAATTTGTAACAAGTTGCTTAGCCATTTTGATGCCAATAATTTGATAACCTCTTATAAGCTTACATTCTATACGAAAAAATCCATTATTTCACAAATTTTGACTAGTTTTTTGATTGGATAGCATCGGTTGATAATGGAAAAATATATGGAATAATATCAATTATTTATCTAGATTTGGCCAAAGTATTTAATATTGTTTCCCACAATAAGCTGATGGTCACCATCAATAAGTATGGCATTATAAAGCTCTCGCATAACTGGATTTTTTTTAAAGGGTCCTCACCATTAGTGGTTAAGCTCGCTCCACTGTCTTATCGGACTGGGCAAATATGCCAGGGAATCCCTTGGCGGTAAAAGTACAAGTGAATCGTCAGTATCATCCGGATTTCTGGACAGGTCTACTCCCGCGGGGAATAGAACTGGACCTTGGATAATTAAAAAGCCATTACCAAGTTGTACGTATCAATAATTTTCTTTCAGATATAGTAATCTCAATAGAATTTCGAACTGGTCGTAGGACAGGCAGATTTCTCTTTC